CATCATTACATATAAATGTTGTTATAAAATGTAGTGATCATTACATATTCATGTTGGTATACAATGAAGTAACATCATTACATATTCGTGTTTTATATAATGTAGTAGCATCATTACATATTCATGTTGTTATACAATGAAGTAACATCATTACATATAAATGTTGTTATACAATGTATTAATATCTTTACATATTCATGTTGTTATACAATGTAGTGACATCATTACAGTTGTTATACAATGTAGTAACATCATTACATATAAATGTTGTTATACAATGCAGTAATATCTTTACATATTCATGTTGTTATACAATGAAGTAACATCATTACATATTCATGTTGGTATACAATGTATTAACATCATTACATATTCGTGTTGTTATTCAATGTAGTAACATCATTACATATAAATGTTGTTATAAAATATAGTAACATCATTACATATTCATGTTGTTCTACAATGAAGTAACATCATTACATATTCGTGTTGTTACACAATGTAGTACCATCATTACATATAAATGTTGTTATACAATATAGTAACATCATTACATATTCGTGTTGTTACACAATGTAGTAACATCATTACATATAAATGTTGTTATACAATATAGTAACATCATTACATATTCGTGTTGTTACACAATGTAGTAACATCATAACATATTCATGTTGTTATACAATGTAGTAACATCATTACATATTCATGTTGTTATACAATGTAGTGACATCATTACATATTCTTGTTGTTATACAATGTAGTAACATTATTACATATTCATGTTGTTATACAATGTAGTAACATCATAACATATTCTTGTTGGTATACAATGTAGTAACAACATTTCATATTCATGTTGTTATACAATGTAGTGACATCATTACATATTCATGTTGTTATACAATATAGTAGCATCATTCCATATTCATGTTATTATACAATGTAGGAACATCATTACATATTCATGTTATTATTCAATGTAGTAACATCATTACATATAAATGTTGTTATTCAATGTAGTAATATCATAACATATTCATTTTGTTATACAATGTGGTGACATCATTACATATTCATGTTGTTATACAATGTAGTAACATCATTACATATAAATGTTGTTATACAATGTAGTAATATCATAACATATTCATTTTGTTATACAATGTAGTGACATCATTACATATTCATGTTGTTATACAATATAGTAGCATCATTACATATTCATGTTATTATACAATGTAGTAACATCATAACATATTCTTGTTGGTATACAATGTAGTAACAACATTACATATTCATGTTGTTATACTATGTAGTAGCATCATTACATATTCGTGTTATTATACAATGTAGTAACATCATAACATATTCTTGTTGGTATACAATGAAGCAACAACATTACATATTCATGTTGTTATACAATTTAGTAACATCATTACATATTCTTGTTGGTATACAATGTAGTAGCATCATTACATTGTATAATAACATGAATATGTAATGATGTCACTACATATTCATGTTGTTATACAATGTAGTAACATCATTACATATAAATGTTGTTATAAAATGTAGTAATATCATTACATATTCATTTTGTTATACAATGTAGTGACATCATTACATATTCATGTTGTTATACAATGTAGTAGCATCATTACATATTCATGTTATTATACAATGAAGTAACATCATTACATATAAATGTTGTTATAAAATGTAGTAATATCATTTCATATTCATTTTGTTATACAATGTAGTAACATCATTACATATTCGTGTTGTTACACAATGTAGTAACATCATAACATATTCTTGTTGGTATACAATGTAGTAACAACATTACGTATTCATGTTGTTATACAATGTAGTAATATCATTTCATATTCATTTTGTTATACAATGTAGTAACATCATTACATATTCGTGTTGTTATAAATTGTAGTAATATAATTGCATATTCATGTTGTTATACAATGTAGAGACATCATTACATATTCATGTTTTATATAATGTAGTAGCATCATTACATATTCATGTTATTATACAATGTTGTAACATCATTACATATTCGTGTTGTTATACAATGTAGTAACATCATTACATATAAATGTTGTTATACAATGTAGTAACATCATGACATATTTGTGTTGTCATACATTGTAGCAATATAATTGCATATTCATGTTATTATACAATGTAGTAACAACATTACATATTCATGTTGTTATACAATATAGTAGCATCATTACATATTCATGTTATTATACAATGTTGTAACATCATTACATATTCGTGTTGTTATAAATTGTAGTAATATAATTGCATATTCATGTTGTTATACAATGTAGTGACATCATTACATATTCATGTTTTATATAATGTAGTAGCATCATTACATATTCATGTTATTATACAATGTATTAACATCATTACATATTCGTGTTTTATATAATGTAGTAGCATCACTACATATTCATGTTATTATACAATGTATTAACATCATTACATATTCGTGTTTTATATAATGTAGTAGCATCACTACATATTCATGTTATTATACAATGTATTAACATCATTACATATTCGTGTTTTATATAATGTAGTAGCATCATTACATATTCATGTTATTATACAATGTATTAACATCATTACATATTCGTGTTTTATATAATGTAGTAGCATCACTACATATTCATGTTATTATACAATGTATTAACATCATTACATATTCGTGTTTTATATAATGTAGTAGCATCATTACATATTCATGTTATTATACAATGTTGTAACATCATTACATATTCGTGTTGTTACACAATGTAGTAACATCATAACATATTCTTGTTGGTATACAATGTAGTAACAACATTACGTATTCATGTTGTTATACAATGTAGTAATATCACTTCATATTCATTTTGTTATACAATGTAGTAATATCATTTCATATTCATTTTTTTATACAATGTAGTAACATCATTACATATTCATGTTGTTATACAATGTAGTGACATCATTACATATTCATGTTTTATATAATGTGGAAACATTACGATTTTGTACATGTAGAATGCGTCACATCCCTTTATTTTGACATCAGACAAAAGTATGTGATGGCGTAAGATATCTTCAGCAGATCAAGCACACTACTTATATTTCCATTTTAAATATTTACAAAATTTACATTGTACATGCAATGGTTTTAAGCAAAGTAAAGTTTGACAGTTATTCGTTATTCGGAATAACGAATAACATTCTAACTTTTCCTTTCCCCCTGGAAAATCATAGTTAAATAGTTATTCGTTCTTCATAATACCAAATAACTCATCAACTCTACCTTGGTAAGGTTTTACCATTACGGTTAAAAGAATCTCGAACTCGGTCGTATTCCATCTGACTTTTGATAGACTAGCTGATGCTAACTTTAAATATATTGTTATTTTCGTTTACTTTTGGTCCATAGAATGAAAATTTGATGACTAAGAAATAGAATATTTGTAATTCAATAACAACAATATTACTTTGCACATTCTGTAAACATATTATGTCTGCACAGTCGAATATCTATTTTTAGTATTTTTTTGCGTCTTTCGAACAAACATGACAAAACCAAGAAAGAGTTTTTTTGGTATTTCATCTGATATAAACTCCGGTTTCAGTTGCATGCCTGCGTTAAACTAAAGAAATGTATCCTCGTGCATAGTTTAATTGCAGTGGATTATATTTAGGGAGCAAGGTATCATTAAGTTTGACTTGATGTTCTCATACATAAAACTAGTTGAGGCAAGATGACAGCGGAGTGAAATAAAACGCTAACCCATATTCAGCCCCCAAACTCCCGTCCATCCACATCGATGTTCAACCCAATCCGGACCTTTTCCGACCGTTTGTACGACATTTTTCTTAAAATTGGACAATGAAAAGGGAGGGTTTCCTTTGTCACTAAGCAAGTCTATTTCTTTTATCAAGAAGAGACTGTAGACGTGTTTACATGCAAGACTAACGCTATTAGTTTAGTTGTCTGCAAACACAACTACATACCTTTTAGGTTAATTTAGATTCTCTGTCTGCAGACACGACTACATACCTTTTAGGTTAATTTAAATTCTCTGTGGCAGACACAACTACGTACCTTTTAGGTTAATTTAGATTCTCTGTCTGCAGACACAACTACATACCTTTTAGGTTAATTTAGATTCTCTGTGGCAGACACAACTACATACCTTTTAGGTTAATTTAGATTATCTGCCTGCAGACACAACTACATACCTTTTAGGTTAATTTAGTTGAATGTAGGTTGTACATCGGGCATCTAGAAATACAGACTTGTGTTTTGCATTAATTGTGGATCTTAAAGGTTATTTTTAAAACTACTCTGAAATTGAATCCAAATCAGCTTGCTGTCGTTTTTTCCATTGTTTTGTTCTCATAGCATCCATCAGCATCTTGACATTCACATCTCAATTGAGAACAGGTACCTGTCATTACTTGGAGCCAACAATGAAAAGCTATCCTGTTTTGAATTTAGGATAATACTTAATTCACCAATTATTCCGTGTCAAACGGAACCTTAATCATGTGGGGACTTTAGAGCAGGACCTAGTGTTAGAGTCATTCCAACGTCAGCATAATTCAGTCGTTATGGTGTTTGCTTGTAATTGAAAACTTTGGAAGCATTGGGTTTAGATCAACAGTAGCAGAACTGCAAGAAATGATGACGGGTTCGTTCACAGATGAAGTGCTGTGGTATGTCGACATACGTTTGATATAGAATATCACTACTGTTAATGACACTTATCCCATTGTTAAAGTAACAGGACATGAGGGTTGATAAGTAAGGTTACGGAATTGTAAATGGTATCACAATACTGCCCCGGCTTCACTAATCATACAGATCTGGATCATGTTTAATGTCTAAAAACAATAGTATGATAGTATCAATAATTTTGATAAAAATGGCATGTGTTAACAGTTAAATATTTGGTGATTTTCAGGAGCGTTCCTCATTCCTTACCTTGCATGCGTGGTCGTGGCCGGAGTACCTCTCTTCTTTATGGAAGTAGCCGTTGGTCAGTTTATGGGGGTCAGCGGATTCAAGGCATGGAATATCTGTCCTTTATTCCAAGGTAAAGGGATTAAGCAGATCTGTTTTTTCAGAGACCACATATTTCAATTCAACTCATTTGAAAAAAATATCCAACGTATAGAATCATTACACCATTTCTGACATGCGATTTATAAGATTGGAGATTAATAAAATCTTGCCGCAATTTTCAAAAATCAATTTATTTACGGTGCTACATTTATAATCCTTGGATTACCGTCCTCTGTTTTGATATTTGCGTTGGTTTAGGGTAATACACTGTCACAAATACAGTTTAGTTGGAGACGTGAGAGGAACAGGTAAATATAATATTTGCAACATAACAATCTGAATAATCACAGACAGATAATTCCGATTCTGCTTCATATTCTATTCGTTCACAAACGCATTTGTTTTGTCACAGTTTCTTAGAATAGTATAAAACATTATACAGTTGTAGAATGGGTATGAGGGAAATAGCACATTTATGGTCCCCCAAGGTGAAAAAACTATTCGCCGCCTCGGGAAATAGTTTTTCACCAAGGGTGACCATAAATTTGCTATTTCCCGAATTACTCATTATGTAACTGTTTTATTATAACGAAACAAATTATTCACCAAGTAAAGGCAATTTAACAAATGAATTTATTTATTCCTTTCCTTTTACAATTTCAAAGACTGAAAGAGAAAAAAATGCAATTGGAAGTACTGTATGCATCGTCGTTGATGATAACTTCATTTCTAGCATTCAAGAAGTGTTTTATAGACTGAATCTCATAGTCACCATTGTTTTTCTCCCATATCTACTGTTAGTAGATCTAGTCCCATCCATTTTTTTTAAAAGAGCTTGCTTGACCCTACTCGTAGACGCTTCCGGCATTCCGTTCTGTTAAATAAGTTTTAAGTGAATTCACTGCAGTCTTTATAACAGCTTTAGTATTTAAGCTACGTTTAGCGTCCAAAATCTGCTGTAACTACTCTTTACAACAACAAAACAGCCTTCATCGGTGGCCATTTCACTGTTGTCATTTGGTTCTGAAAATGTGACGTCACGAGCGTCACGGGGAAGTTGGTTGAATGTTTTCATTGGTTGAAATCTTATAAACTCCACCTACAATATTCATGAGGGAGTGGTCCATTCTGGCAGGGTGTAGTCCCTTTTTGCAGGGAGTAGTCCTAATTTGGGCAGGGAGTAGCTCTCAGATGGAGAGATTTAAGTGATTTAAGGGAAAAAGCAGATTTGATCGTATTGTTTTTATATAGGGAAAACTCAGTAGAGGTATAATAATATAAACTATGGAACGGGCAGGTCTGTGCCGTAGTTCCCAACCACCTCACTCAATAGGGCGTGCCTTCTTTGAAATATAACCCCTTTAGAACAGACAAGAAATTTCTTCCATCAAATGGGTATGCATAAACACTGTGTCATATCTACACGTACGGGTGTCGGTCGGTCGGTCCTTTTGCCACTTTAGATATACACACTGAGTAAGACCTAGACTTTCATATATCCTGTTGACACTTTTAGATATGTAAAACCACCCTGGCAGATCTATGATAACTTTTATCATGCTAATGTATGTGAAAAGTACGATGGCCGAAGGCGATCAGGCATATATTGATTCGCACGTTTAGAATGCACAGAATTAGAAATGTTGTCACGGTAATTTGATATCAAACCGATGCTAACGTTGTTAAAACTATATATGGCAGAACGACAGCCTCCTTTTACAGGAATTGCAAGTAAATTCATTTCAATTTCATAGCTCCAAACTTAATGTTTTAAATGGTTATGCAACGGCGGTTGTTATGAATAACACATATATAGAGTTTAGTAATTAAATAAACGTTATGTAGTTTTTTTTGTAGTTTGAGAATGGTTTCATAGTGAAATATTTACTTATCGGTTTCACCTGACTTGTTCCAATACTCTAGCAAAGCCCAATCCATTAGATGACAGTGACCTATTATATCTGGGTTGCATGCAACCCAATTAAAATGCATGGCATCCATTGTTCCGACATATCATTAACATGTATCATCGATATCGATAACATTCGCCATTTCACTTCTAGATATGGTAAAACCACCAGGTAGGACCAAGAGCACGGAAGGTGGTGCTGTATGGTTATTAAAAAACGCGAATTAATAAAAACAAAACGTAACGAGAAAAACAAAATCAAACAACAAATGCATATTGATTTCAGTCACGGTTTACATTCAGATATAAATATCCCTATTAATTAATAAGAGATACAGAAGTGTATCCTGTATATAGCCCTAATGCTCTTCCGTAATATAGGCACTCAACAGGAGCGTTTAAAAATGTTTCCAAATTCCGCAGTGTCAATCCCATATATTTTTTATGGGGAAGAAGAGGCTCGGGGGTTTTATCAGTCAATCGCTATCAATGGTCGTTGATTTAGATTTGAACATATTTGTATTTGCATCTGATCCGTACATTAGGGATTGGAGGTCAAAACAATAGCCTTTCTCGGGTCATAATTGTTTACCACGCTACAGTAACGAAATAGGAAATGATTAATTTGTGTGGCGAAAACGGAACACAATCCATTGTAACACATAAAAGTGTACTGCGGTGCAGAAACGAAACAGAAATGTTTGTTTACCGGGTGAAAGCTTGCCGTGATACAGAAACGAAATAGGAATGTTTGTTTACCGCATTAAAGCTAACCGTGATACAGAAACGAAATAGAAATGTTTGTTTACCGGGTGATAGCTTACCGTGATACAGAAACGAAATAGAAATGTTTGTTTACCGCGTGAAAGCTTACCGTGATACAGAAACGAAATAGAAATGTTTGTTTACCGCGTGAAAGCTAACCGTGATACAGATACGAAAGAGAAATGTTTGTTTACCGGGTGATAGCTTACCGTGATACAGAAACAAAATAGAAATGTTTGATACAGAAACGAAATAGAAATGTTTTTTAACCGCGTGAAAGCTAACCGTGATACAGAAACGAAATAGAAATGTTTGATACAGAAACGAAATAGAAATGTTTGTTTACCGCGTGAAAGCTAACCGTGATACAGATACGAAAGAGAAATGTTTGTTTACCGGGTGATAGCTTACCGTGATACAGAAACAAAATAGAAATGTTTGATACAGAAACGAAATAGAAATGTTTTTTAACCGCGTGAAAGCTAACCGTGATACAGAAACGAAATAGAAATGTTTGATACAGAAACGAAATAGAAATGTTTGTTTACCGCGTGAAAGCTAACCGTGATACAGATACGAAAGAGAAATGTTTGTTTACCGGGTGATAGCTTACCGTGATACAGAAACAAAATAGAAATGTTTGATACAGAAACGAAATAGAAATGTTTTTTAACCGCGTGAAAGCTAACCGTGATACAGAAACGAAATAGAAATGTTTGATACAGAAACGAAATAGAAATGTTTGTTTACCGCGTGAAAGCTAACCGTGATACAGATACGAAAGAGAAATGTTTGTTTACCGGGTGATAGCTTACCGTGATACAGAAACAAAATAGAAATGTTTGATACAGAAACGAAATAGAAATGTTTTTTAACCGCGTGAAAGCTAACCGTGATACAGAAACGAAATAGAAATGTTTGATACAGAAACGAAATAGAAATGTTTGTTTACCGCGTGAAAGCTAACCGTGATACAGATACGAAAGAGAAATGTTTGTTTACCGGGTGATAGCTTACCGTGATACAGAAACAAAATAGAAATGTTTGATACAGAAACGAAATAGAAATGTTTTTTAACCGCGTGAAAGCTAACCGTGATACAGAAACGAAATAGAAATGTTTGATACAGAAACGAAATAGAAATGTTTGTTTACCGCGTGAAAGCTAACCGTGATACAGATACGAAAGAGAAATGTTTGTTTACCGGGTGATAGCTTACCGTGATACAGAAACAAAATAGAAATGTTTGATACAGAAACGAAATAGAAATGTTTTTTAACCGCGTGAAAGCTAACCGTGATACAGAAACGAAATAGAAATGTTTGATACAGAAACGAAATAGAAATGTTTGTTTACCGCGTGAAAGCTAACCGTGATACAGATACGAAAGAGAAATGTTTGTTTACCGGGTGATAGCTTACCGTGATACAGAAACAAAATAGAAATGTTTGATACAGAAACGAAATAGAAATGTTTGTTAACCGCGTGAAAGCTAACCGTGATACAGAAACGAAATAGAAATGTTTGATACAGAAACGAAATAGAAATGTTTGTTTACCGCGTGAAAGCTAACCGTGATACAGATACGAAAGAGAAATGTTTGTTTACCGGGTGATAGCTTACCGTGATACAGAAACAAAATAGAAATGTTTGATACAGAAACGAAATAGAAATGTTTGTTAACCGCGTGAAAGCTAACCGTGATACAGAAACGAAATAGAAATGTTTGATACAGAAACGAAATAGAAATGTTTGTTTACCGCGTGAAAGCTAACCGTGATACAGATACGAAAGAGAAATGTTTGTTTACCGGGTGATAGCTTACCGTGATACAGAAACAAAATAGAAATGTTTGATACAGAAACGAAATAGAAATGTTTGTTAACCGCGTGAAAGCTAACCGTGATACAGAAACGAAATAGAAATGTTTGATACAGAAACGAAATAGAAATGTTTGTTTACCGCGTGAAAGCTAACCGTGATACAGATATGAAAGAGAAATGTTTGTTTACCGGGTGATAGCTTACCGTGATACAGAAACAAAATAGAAATGTTTGATACAGAAACGAAATAGAAATGTTTTTTAACCGCGTGAAAGCTAACCGTGATACAGAAACGAAATAGAAATGTTTGATACAGAAACGAAATAGAAATGTTTGTTTACCGCGTGAAAGCTAACCGTGATACAGATACGAAAGAGAAATGTTTGTTTACCGGGTGATAGCTTACCGTGATACAGAAACAAAATAGAAATGTTTGATACAGAAACGAAATAGAAATGTTTTTTAACCGCGTGAAAGCTAACCGTGATACAGAAACGAAATAGAAATGTTTGATACAGAAACGAAATAGAAATGTTTGTTTACCGCGTGAAAGCTAACCGTGATACAGATATGAAAGAGAAATGTTTGTTTACCGGGTGATAGCTTACCGTGATACAGAAACAAAATAGAAATGTTTGATACAGAAACGAAATAGAAATGTTTTTTAACCGCGTGAAAGCTAACCGTGATACAGAAACGAAATAGAAATGTTTGATACAGAAACGAAATAGAAATGTTTGTTTACCGCGTGAAAGCTAACCGTGATACAGAAACGAAATAGAAATGTTTGTTTACCGGGTGATAGCTTACCGTGATACAGAAACGAAATAGAAAGGTTTGATACAGAAACGAAATAGAAATGTTTGTTTACCGGTTGATAGCTTACCGTGATACAGAAACGAAATAAAAATGTTTGTTTACCGCATTAAAGCTTACCGTGATACAGAAACGAAATAGAATTGTTTGATACAGAAACGAAATAGAAATGTTTGTTTACCGCATTAAAGCTTACCGTGATACAGAAACGAAATAGAGATGTTTGATACAGAAACGAAATAGAAATGTTTTTTTACCGCATGAAAGCTTACCGTGATACAGACACGAAGTCGAATTGTTTGTTTACCGGGTGAAAGCTAACCGTGATACAGAAACGAAATAGAAATGTTTGATACAGAAACGAAATAGAAATGTTTGTTTACCGCATGAAAGCTTACCGTGATACAGACACGAAGTCGAATTGTTTGTTTACCGGGTGAAAGCTAACCGTGATACAGAAACGAAATAGAAAGGTTTGATACAGAAACGAAATAGAAATGTTTGTTTACCGCATGAAAGCTTACCGTGATACAGAAACGAAATAGAAATGTTTGTTTACCGCATAAAAGCTTACCGTGATACAGACACGAAATAGAAGTGTTTGTTTACCGGGTGAAAGCTAACCGTGATACAGAAACGAAATAGAAATGTTTGTTTACCGGATGAAAGCTTACCGTGATACAGAAACGAAATAGAAATGTTTGTTTACCGCATGAAAGCTTACCGTGATACAGACACGAAATAGAATTGTTTGTTTACCGCGTGAAAGCTAACCGTGATACAGAAACGAAATAGAAATGTTTGATACAGAAACGAAAGAGAAATGTTTGATACAGAAACGAAATATAAATGTTTGATACAGAAACGAAATAGGAATGTTTGATACAGAAACGAAAGAGAAATGTTTGATACAGAAACGAAAGAGAAATGTTTGATACAGAAACGAAAGAGAAATGTTTGATACAGAAACGAAAGAGAAATGTTTGATACAGAAACGAAATAGAAATGTTTGATACAGAAACGAAATGCTTATGCAATTTGTCCTGCCGCCTTTTGCCATTGTATTAAGGTTGAACAATCCCCTTAAATTTCAACACCCTGGTAAGTGTTATTCAACGGCCCTTTTGAAAAGATAGGAATATTTATATGTAATTTAAACATATTAAATATAGACCTATGAGCACCAAAACTACATAAACTTCATGTAAAGTGCCCTTTCTTAGCATTTAATGGTGTTATACAAAAGCTAAATGTGTTATAAATATTATCATACTTTTCAGTTTTAATGTTTATTAAATGTCTAGCGAATTTATAGCATCATCTAACGTTCACTAATCAATCGAGGTCACTTAGCCTTTGTTTGCTTATTCATAATCTGCTAAAATATATTACCATGGGGATTTTACGAAGGTTTTAGTGGTTTCGCATGGCAACATCTATCTTGATTTGATGTCGTAATTCCTCTCAACAAGCTGATAGAAGAGAAATTTAGCTCTGCATGGCCTAGGTATATAAATAAACTTTAAATGATATGTCATTTCTTATAACTCAGTTGGGTCGCAAAAGAGATTGATATGATATAAGTTCGGTGAACTATATTTATGAAGACGTCTGCCTTCATGCCTTATTAGTGACTTCGTTAAGATATGTACTATTTTTGATATCTAGTGTACAAATTCAATATACTCAAACTAAATCTATCTTGTCTACATCTATATATATCCATTATATCATGTACCTCGTTTCCAGGTCTTGGTGGTGTGACGACCACAGTGGTGTTCTACCTAAACTGTTACTACAACGTGATCATCTGTTGGGCTCTTTACTATGTGTTTTCCTCCTTTACCTCCGAGCTTCCCTGGAAGACGTGTGGTCACGAGTGGAACACGGAACACTGCTACGACTTCACTGCTGTAAACAAGACAAATTCTACGAACAATGTAACGGCGGTGCCAATGATCAGGATAGACCCAGTCAATGAGTATTGGGAGTAAGAATACATTTGATTATTCGTAATTCATAAACATATGTGTGAGTGTTTCTTAATTGTAAGGGAGAATTTGTGTTTAAGATATGAAAAGCTGAACAAATATCAATGATAATTATATAAAACGGCATCGATTGATAATATGTCAGTAACGAATGTAGATTATTATACATCAGAATGAATAACAGGTTTTCAATATACATTTATCGCTCAGACTTTATTACATTCTTTTTTCTAACGATCAGGAGAAAAGTGTTAGGAATATCGGACGGGATAGAGAATATGGGAACCATCAAATGGGATCTAGCCCTGTGTCTCCTGTTGGCCTGGGTTATCGTATATGTTTGCATCTGTAAAGGAATTCGATCTTCCGGCAAGGTGAGTACGTCACATCCGGTATTTTGAACATCATTGTGAGACATTTGATGTTGCATTTGTCTTAATAGTTTCGATCGTTTTATTTTCCCAAAACAAATTGTTTTACAATTGTAGAAGTTAATTCTTACACTATATTGTATTTCTAAAAAAAACGTGATCATTTTGGTTATAAATTTGGATCTATGACTATACGCTAGTAATTTTCCAGAACTCCTCTAATAAAGTGACAGATATTTATGTGTATGCTATCTGTATTTATATATCATCTCCAGGTGATTTACGTAACGGCGACCGCCCCATACCTCTTCATGCTCGCCCTGCTTATACGTAACTCTGTTCTAGAGGGCGCTCTTGACGGGGTCATTTATTATCTCAAACCAGACTTAGCCAAACTGTTGGACGTCGGGGCAAGTATTTAGCTGATCCATAGTTCGCTCGTCTTATGAGACAGACCCAGTCACTTGAGATATGTCCCCATGGTCATGTCAAATATTGCATTATATAATCTCTTTATAATCATTTAAAGTTGTTTGAATTCTTTGCATCAACCTATACAGCCCGGTCCTTAAGCCCTGTGATATATTCGTTGATGCGTTTCATACTTAGTTGTCACTCACCAAGAACATGACACTTCATACTTTATAGGTGTAACTGATATACACTAGGTCTAGTTATATTTCACTCTGCCATTCCATATTTCATATAGATGTACCGACAACCCGTTCCTGTCTCTCGTATATATTATTATATATTGCTTCTGTCCTAGGATAAAGCAGGTGTTTTACATATACCGACACCCGTACCATATCAGCTTAATATTAACTGGCATTTATAAACGAATCGTCAATAACTTATCAGATGTCATAGCAAGTGTTTATTTTCCAGTGCTACTTCGAATAAAGACATTAAATATCACTGTACAGAGGTGACAGAGTCCTCAATAGGTTCTTCGAGATGATTCACAGTGCATCACATGCGTGTCACTTTATACCTTACGTAGCGTGCTCTCAGTATGATGCACATTCCTGTTGCCAACAGACACCTACCAAATACACCTAAAATACAGAGTCCTAAACAATAGCCCCAAAGCTCCATTCGAGATGATTCACAGTGCATCACATGCGTGTCACTTTATACCTTACGTGGCGTGCTCTCAGTATGATGCACATTCCTGTTGCCAACAGACACCTATCAAATACACCTACAATACCGAGTCCTAAACAATAGCCCCAAAGCTCCATTTAACTATTTTGATGCCTGACCTTTATAAACAGCTCTGTTTTTTTTGTATTTGTCTTAGGTTAGGGTAGTGCACGCGCACACTCCCTTCCCCGTTTCTGTCAGGGATATAACAAGTTGGCATATTTGCTTTCGAACGCCGAAATTTTCTTCTCATATTTCACCACTTGACCATACAATAATATAATTTTATTTGCATACACATATAGTTTGTATACACATGCGACACTTGTCCTCTCTCGGGTTAACTGACCATGATGATATTCAAAGGGACTCTTTTCTTATATCATGATGATCAATTCTACAAACGATTAATTCTGTGTTCCAAAACAAATAGACATCTTTTTAAAACTGTGCACCGGACCATATCTGCCTAATGGTCGCATATGTTACCTGTAATTCTTAAATTATTTTTAAAAGCGTATTTTCTCCCAATATGGCCCTTTCCAATTCCTCAGGCTTGTGTTTACCGAAGAGTCAATAAAGATGTTCCTTTCTGCCATGAAGTCTAGTCCACGCATTGATCAATGTTTATGATGCCGATAATTAAAGAAAAAGTAGTACTGTGTCAATAGCACCACCTCTGCACGACGGGGTCAAAGGTGACATTAAGATCGACATTACAAAAGGTACATTCCTGTCGAAAAACCTATGACGTTGCACTAGTGCTTGAAGTTAAGTCTAGTCGTCTGCTGCCAAGAGACTAGGGCAACTACACTGTTATACGTTTCATTAAAGCTATCAATTACTAAACAATTATGGACCTTTGTGCTGGTGAATATGATGTGATATGAACCTGAAATAGTGATATTAACTGAGGCGAATCCGAGGTCAATATCACTCTTTCAGGTTCATATCACATCATATTTACAAGCACAAAAGCCCATAACTGTTTCATTATATGCTTCAACAATAAAATAAAACAAAACAAAACTAAAGATTCTGACTTTTGTACGCGAACCTCCGTGTAAAATTTAGCCAGGTTTGAATACAACAGTTCATCATTGAAGCTTTCGAAGGCATCGACTAGGTTCTTTTTCTTCAGATAAGCATGGAGGACATGCACTGCGTGTTCAATGGCATATTTTTTACGTTAACAGCATCTTTATCCTCGAATAGTTTTGGTAATTTTCCTAACCGAAGAGAAACGTTCGCCAGCAGCCATCTTCTAATGTCGTCTGACAGATCGCGTTCCAGTCTAACTGCGCATGCGCTACGACACGTTCCGGGGAATTTCCATACAGGCTATATTTAGAAATCGGTATTCACTGCATAACCAGTCTACATGAGTTTTTGAGGACTGATCACGTGTATAGGATCCGACCAATGTGATTGCGTGAAATTTTCATGCATATAATAAACTCTCTAAGCTACACTCAAATATGAAATATGAAAACGTTAATGTATATGATAATGTACTCTTGTTAATTTGGTGATAATTGATTAAGATAATACGTCAACGTGTTTAACAGACAGGAAGTGTGGCAGGCTCTTGATTGGGTATTGGGAGGTGAAACGTAATGATAATGGCCTTATAATGTATATCAATACCGGAAAGCATAAAAAAAACATATGTGCCACTTAGTACAGTACAGTCATATTAAGCTAATTATCTAAGTTATCTTAGGTAACGTCTTAGACGACGCCTGTACATTGCATAATAGCTGAGAACTGGGAAAATCTATATTTAACTTTCTGAAACCTTTTATCAGTGTATATTACGTAATATTGAACTCTATTAAAACACCGTACTAAGATAATGGTGAGTGTTATGTTATTCTATTAGAATATTTCATTTGCACATCGCAGCGTTCGGCGTTATCAAATATCGTTCCGTAATCCGTACCAAGTCATGTTTACTACTGCCGTAATCTGTACCAAGTCATGTTTACTACTGCCGTAATCCGTACCAAGTCATGTTTACTACTGGCGTAATCCGTACTAAGTCATGTTTACTACTGCCGTAATCCGTACCAAGTCATTTTACTACTGCCGTAATCCGTACCAAGTCATTTTACTACTGCCGTAATCCGTACCAAGTCATGTTTACTACTGCCGTAATCCGTACCAAGTCATGTTTACTACTGCCGTAATCCGTACCAAGTCATGTTTACTACTGCCGTAATCCGTACCAAGTCATGTTTACTACTGCCGTAATCCGTACCAAGTCATGTTTACTACTGCCGTAATCCGTACCAAGTCATGTTTACTACTGCCGTAATCCGTACCAAGTCATGTTTACTACTGCCGTAATCCGTACCAAGTCATGTTTACTACTGCCGTAATCCGTACCAAGTCATGTTTACTACTGCCGTAATCCGTACCAAGTCATGTTTACTACTGCCGTAATCCGTACCAAGTCATGTTTACTACTGCCGTAATCCGTACCAAGTCATGTTTACTACTGCCGTAATCCGTACCAAGTCATGTTTACTACTGCCGTAATCCGTACCAAGTCATGTTTACTACTGCCGTAATCCGTACCAAGTCATGTTTACTACTGCCGTAATCCGTACCAAGTCATGTTTACTACTGCCGTAATCCGTACCAAGTCATGTTTACTACTGCCGTAATCCGTACCAAGTCATGTTTACTACTGCCGTAATCCGTACCAAGTCATGTTTACTACTGCCGTAATCCGTACCAAGTCATGTTTACTACTGCCGTAATCCGTACCAAGTCATGTTTACTACTGCCGTAATCCGTACCAAGTCATGTTTACTACTGCCGTAATCCGTACCAAGTCATGTTTACTATTGCCGTAATCCGTACCAAGTCATGTTTACTACTGCCGTAGTCCGTACCAAGTCATGTTTACTACTGCAGTAATCCGTACCAAGTCATGTTTACTACTGCCGTAATCTGTACCAGGTCATGTTTAATACTGCCGTAATCCGTACCAAATCATGTTTACTACTCCCGTAATCCGTACTAAGTCATGTTTACTACTGCCGTAATCCGTACCAAGTCATGTTTACTACTGCCGTAATCCGTTCTAAGTCATGTTTACTACTGCCGTAATCTGTACCAAGTCATGTGTACTACTGCCGTAATCCGTACCGAGTCATGTTTACTACTGCCGTAATCCGTACTAAGTCATGTTTACTACTGGCGTAATCCGTACCAAGTCATGTTTACTACTGCCGTAATCTGTACCAGGTCATGACTCCTGCCGTAATCCGTACCAAATCATGTTTACTACTCCCGTAATCCGTACTAAGTCATGTTTACAACTGGCGTAATCCGTACCAAGTCATTTTTACTACTGCCGTAATCCGTACCAAGTCATGTTTACTACTGCCGTAATCCGTATCAAGTCATGTTTAATACTGCCGTAATCCGTACCAAGTCATGTCTACTACTGCCGTAATCCGTATCAAGTCATGTTTACTACTGCCGTAATCCGTATCAAGTCATGTTTACTACTGCCGTAATCCGTACCAAGTCATGTTTACTACTGCCGTAATCCGTACCAAGTCATTTTACTACTGCCGTAATCCGTACCAAGTCATGTTTACTACTGCCGTTATCCGTATTAAGTCATGTTTACTATTGCCGTTATCCATACCAAGTCATAATTACTACTGCCGTAATCCGTACTAAGTCATGTTTACTACTGCCGTAATCCGTACCAAGTCATGTTTACTACTGCCGTAATTTGTACCAAGTCATGTTTACTACTGCCGTAATCTGTACCAAGTTATGTTTACTACTGCCGTAATCCGTACCGAGTCATGTTTACTACTGCCATAATCCGTACCAAGTCATGTTTACTACTGCCGTAATCCGTACCAAGTCATGTTTACTATACTGCCGTAATCCGTACCAAGTCATGTTTACTAATGCGTAATCCGTACCAAGTCATGTTTACTACTGCCGTAATCCGTTCCAAGTCATGTTTACTACTGCCGTAATCCGTACTAAGTCATGTTTACTACTGCCGTAATCCATACTTAGTCATGTTTACTACTGCCGTAATCCGTACCAAGTCATGTTTACTACTTGGGACAATTATGAAAATAACACGAATACAAAAAGCTTCCCTTTAATGCTGCAATTATGTATAAGTCGATGAGTACCGATTATGTCGCTCAGATTTTGTATTGCTGGGTAATTTACAACACATAATAGGGTAAATTTATATATATCAAAAATCAAACACTTTGTTACGGTAAGAGTTTTCAACGAATTATGATTAAGAGTTCGTTTGTAATAACTTCAGTTTCACGATGCCTTTCTTCAATCTTGTAATATTAACTTATCTGCTTCCCCTATCTACTGAGAAAACATGGCTTCTTCTGAGTCAGTTACAAATATCAGGATTGATGTCACTTGTCATTAGTTTATATAGTCGCCCTAACTTGGGGTCTTAATAGCACGTTGTAGAATTTAACGGGCGTCATCAAAAGGTGATTGGGAATTACGAAATTTCGGTGTTCACTATTTCTTAGACTTTTGATTACCTGCAGAAATTCTGGGATTCGGCGGTAGTCGTTCGGACAGGTGTTACATCTGGTTCTGAAGCGTACATTGTATTATTCATGTATTTTTGTTTGACCATCTATAAGTTTCCGTTATTATAGATTTTAGTTCCCTCTATGAGTTCAGATTTTCATCGTGTGTTGAAATTGACGTTCTGGCGTTTTCTTTCTTTTTCACACCATTCTAGATCAAGCTTCTGGACATTACTATTGACGTTTTAAGTAAATTTTACAAGAGGGTCTGACCCCCTTAGTTCATGCTGTCATCGCACTGGTAGGTTTTGGATACGCAACATTTATAACATAAAAGAACGTTTCGATTCATGGAAACTAATAGCATAACAGGATACCGTAGTTTTGCCTTTTTTCTTGATCCTTAACGTTTTTCTAGAACGTAAGAAGCAGAAGGAACATGAGCAAAAAAAAGATCAGGAGGAGTATCCCAAAAAAATGGAAGCTGTAGCCCCGAAAAGGCACTTTAACCCCTGAGGGGGTCGTCATAGCTGTTTTGCATTTATGTTGCAGGTTTGGGTCGACGCCTCCACACAAATTATGTGGTCCTATTCCATAGGAATTGGAGCTCTGACTGCTCTCGGCAGCTACAACAAATTCAACCATAATTCTTACAGGCACTGTATAGCATAGTAGAGTATACATATTTGAAATCGTGGTATAGTATTGTAGAACTTGCCTTGTTATGTTTATGTTCTATCGCGTGGTGGGAGAGATTTCTGTATTGTACATATGGACCTGTTTTATAGCTCATCTTTCAACTTCTGGTTTATTTAGTTACTGATTTTTATAGGTTTTTTTTTTTTTTTTTTTTTTTTTTTAGGATGACCTTTTTATATTCTATAAAAGTATTTTCATTATTTAAAACTTCTGCTTGTAAAGGATTTTTAGTGCCTTTAGACAGTGGTATGACACCAATAACACTGCATGTGGCGATGATGCTCTACTAATGATTTAGAATCAATATATATATTACACAAATTCAATAAGATGGTTTTTGAGCCTATTGAAAGCTGGATGTGCCGCCTTATTTCTTCTTTTCTTATAGCCAGATTTCACAATTGGACTAATGGGAGGTGTTTTCTTACACATGTCAACGATATCGTTATACCAAAATAATCAATAACTATTTCCTAATTACAAATTTCTTTTTTCTTTATTTTTACCAGAAACATGTTCAATCTAAATTGGTTATATGTAATTTTGATTTTGCTTGTTTACAGAGATGTTACGATCTTCGCGCTGATAAACTCCGGGACCAGTATCTTTTCGGGGTTCCTTATATTTACAATTCTCGGGCACATGGCTTTCCTGCAGGACACGACAGTAGATAAAGTAGCTTCGTCAGGTAACTGTTAGTAGCAATGACGTGACACTGAACGTCTGGGCGTACTTTAGAAGTACCAAAATTGACACAACACTCGACTATTATCTTGGGTTTTTTACTCTGATATTATTTTTGTTACTTCAGATCTCATTCTCTTGAGGTCCATTGTCCACTTAAATGTGTCTTATTCATCACTATCCAAGGATTTGAATTAAGTATGAATAATAGGGATAGTAGGAACGAAATTATCATATATACTTATCTAGGCACATATCACTATATTAGAAGTTACCACACAATATATCATGATATATGGATTTTCTTTATAAATAAATATGTATACTAACTATATCATGATGCGCAACCGAGGGGGGATATGCGATAACCTCAGGACCATAAAAAGCCTTCGGTTACAAACTAATCGAGGGAATGTGCAAATAATATCAGTTAATTTCATGGGTGATAACATTTGTTTGCATTTTATGTTGAAGTTTTGGTTCGTAGTGACTGTTTATTTCTTTGTTATATGTTATGATAGGTTATTGTTCATGTTTCTGTCTTGTAAAAGGGGAGGATCGCCTTGATTATTCCTTTGTCTGCACTGTCGGTGTCTACTTCTTTGATTATATTTACTTACTATATAATATATCATCAGATATATTTAACACTATTAAATATAGCATACAACAATTTAAAAAAAAAATGTTTCAATTGATTTGAATCGCCCGGATGTTATAGCGCGGGTAGGGGGTTAATTTGGGAGGAAACCGGAGTACCTGTAGAAAACAGTCATGATTAGTCAGGTGACTCCCATACCTTTTCACGTCCGATCGGGGAATAAAACCCTGGCTGTCTTGGTGAAATGTGAATGCTTTATCCACTGTGCCAACCGACCACCTTAATGATTATATATATTCATATATTGATATATTCTAACTACCACACACATTATACCATACGAGAGGTACTTACCACATACAACAGCATCTATGTGTACTTATCACACAATAATCAATCTAATATTTAATATAAGACAACAACATTTGTACTCTATCAGTCTTTATTAATACACAATGGAGTTTAAACAAACAGTAAATAAAGTCTGTTTTGTACTGATACAGACGATCTATAATAATAATAATAATAATTCGAGGTTCTTATATACTACTTTATCACAACCTAGTTCGTAGGTCGTCTCAAAGCGGTTTACAAGTTATTATCCGTAGTTATAGGGCCTTTGCAACCTGCCAACATCTTTCTCAACTCCCTGGAGAGCATAAAGCCGGTGCTGCCATTTCGGCGCTCACAGCTAGTATTCAACAATTCTAGTACCGCTCAACCACGTACTGACTTACAGCTGAGTAGACTGAAACAAGTCGAGTAAAGTATCTTTCTCACAGATACATCATAGTGCCGTGATGTGACTCGAACCCACAACCCTTCGGTCACGAGCCCGGCGTCCTACCACAAGACTACCGTGCCTCCATAATCTATTTGTTATGTGTTACCTTGCAGGTCCCGGGCTGGCGTTTATTGCCTACCCAAAGGCAGTTTCCCTGATGCCAGGAGCGCCCGTGTGGTCTGCGCTCTTCTTCATCATGCTCATATTTCTGGGAATCGACAGCCAGGTATTCAAGATAAGATATGATTGTTTTATTTCAGTTTTAATTGAATTTCCAGTTATGAGCTAATACACTTAGTTATCAATTAGCAATCCAATTATGAAATTCGCTCACGAGAGCAGTCTTATAAATGTTTAATCTTAATTAGAGTTAAAAACCATCTAAAACTCTCTGTTTTGTTTTTTCTCTCAATCATGAAATTGCAATATTTGTATTTAAAAGTCACTCTATTCGGAATCCAACACGTACCATTTAGATGATAACGTATCATACTCTCACAATACAAATATTAACTTAACATACGATATTCTTCATACATTTCAGTTTGTACAAATGGAGGGGTTCATCACTTCCGTTGTTGATCAGTATCCTCATGTCCTTCGGCGTGGATACCGAAAGGAGTTGTTTATAGCCTTTGTGTGCTTTATATCATTCCTTATAGGATTGTCAATGGTTTCAGAGGTAAACATATTTTGATTTCATATTCTTGTAAAATCTAATTCAATTAAATGTATTAACATGATTTCTGTAAGATATGATCATGCAATATGCCAATGGTGTGACTTATGAGTAAGGACCTAAACATGGTATTTATTTTAGCACAACACACGGTAATGGTTCTGGTCGAATATGATATTTTGGTTAAGGGATGAATCCTGTTCTATTGAGGTTTATGGGAACAATTGCTCTTAAAACATATTTCATGAACTGTAAGCAAAACATTTCAAATGTGGTTCATGACCCAATGAACTTTATACCCCAGAAGCCTCAACAGAACACGATTCAGTCTGTTAAGTATCGCTTAATACCTTAACATTCAGTGCGTTTTGGATATGCTGATCATTTTCTAAAATAATTGAGTTGTGCAAGGCTAATAGCATGGAAGACGCCGACCCATGTGACGTCATCATCCACTGTGTGACGTCGAAATTACATACTAGTTTCAATTAGACTCTCAAATATATTTTGTTTATATAATTTGGACTTTTTTTCAGAGTAGTTTGCTAAAACATGCATAGGGTATCAGAAAAAATCATTGAAATATAAACTTCACACTCTTCAGAACGTAAAGTCCAAGTTAAAAAAAAAAAATGTTTTATGTAATTAATGTAGGAACACTGTATATAAAATAGTGCGGTTCGAATTAGCAGATTTTCATTTCCATTCCAGGGAGGGATGTACGTGTTTCAAATATTTGACTATTACTCTGGAAATCGAGTCATGCTTCTCATCGCTTTCACCGAATGTGTAGCAATATCCTGGATTTATGGTAATTTTTAAATCATACTATATCATAGGCACATATAACACTGATATCTGAAAGTGAATTGTATAGTTAATTGTTATCGTGGTTTTTATTATACATTGAACTATTATCCCAATAGGTGTAAACAAGAAAGAAGTTCCTTAGTATTACCTATCACACATGAATCTCATATTCGTTCCATGCATCATTTGATCCTGTATTTTGTATTACATATTTCATGCATCAGCTTACGTTATATATTGTATAACATGTTCCGTGCATCAATCAATCCTTTGTTTTGTGTTAAAACTTGCCCCTGATAAATAAATACTATATTTTGTATAACATATTCCATACACCAATCCGACCATATTGTACGTGTTTGTCAGGCATCAAACGGTTCTACGACAACGTTGAGATGATGTTGGGATGGCGTATTAATCGGTACATGTGGGTGGCGTGGACAATACTTTCACCGATGTTTTGTGCAGTAAGTACATCGCCAATCGTTTGTGTAAGGCATCGTAAGTGCATCAGAAGAAAGTAAATTCTCGTCTACATTTTTTTTGTACAGACAATATAAAAATCTTCCTCTGGATATAAGAAAGACGCTTTGTAATTATCTAGTGCTATGTAATTTTGACTACTGATGCTCAGCCTGGTATTATGGTTTAAATCAAAGGTTACAAAACCAGTTGCAAGTAGCACAGAACAGATGTGTACGTTTTATTTGTGATTTTGGGCCAAGGACGAGAATAGAAAGTAAAGTCTTAACAAATCTGAATCTTTTGAATGTTGAAAACCGAGCAAAGCAATTGGGCTTAAACCATATGTTCAATGTATTTCACGAAACTTGTCCAAGTTATATTACAGAAAAATGCAAGATTCTCTATAAACTTCACACATAAAACAAGAGATAAGCTTATATTTCTCACGTAACAATCATAATTTGAAATAAGCTTCAAACACAATTGTATGTTATCAGCTGACTCTCTATAAAGGTCCAAACCAAAGTCCTCCGATCATAGTATTGTCATTCCGCGCTGTGCAAAGTAGTTCCATAGTTACTAGTTCGTCAACATATCTAGATTTCTGTGATTGGGGATGAGTGTTGATGACAAACTTACAACATATCTAGATTTCTGTGATTGGGGACGAGTGTTGATGACAAACTAACAACATGTCTAGATTTCTGTGATTTGGGACGAGTGTTGATGACAAACTTTCAATATATCTAGATTTCTGTGATTGGGGACGAGAGTTGATGACAAACTTACAACATATCTAGATTTCTGTGATTGGGGACGAGTGTTGATGACAAACTTACAACATATCTAGATTTCTGTGATTGGGGACGAGTGTTGATGACAAACTTTCAATATATCTAGATTTCTGTGATTGGGGACGAGTGTTGATGACAAACTAACAACATGTCTAGATTTCTGTGATTTGGGACGAGTGTTGATGACAAACTTTCAATATATCTAGATTTCTGTGATTGGGGACGAGTGTTGATGACAAACTTTCAATATATCTAGATTTCTGTGATTGGGGACGAGAGTTGATGACAAACTTACAACATATCTAGATTTCTGTGATTGGGGACGAGTGTTGATGACAAACTTACAATATATGTAGATTTCTGTGATTGGGGACGAGTGTTGATGACAAACTTACAACATGTCTAGATTTCTGTGATTTGGGACGAGTGTTGATGACAAACTTTCAATATATCTAGATTTCTGTGATTGGGGACGAGTGTTGATGACAAACTTACAACATAACGTTTGGAGAGATGTCGGTTGACGAAGACTAGTGAAAATCTTATGGTCGCCATCGTGATCGCATTTTTGTTCCGTGAGCTATAAAAATGTCGACATTTATTAATTTGCTCATTAGTATTCCTTTGGGTTTCGTTGCCGCCACCCCGGTACGTACCTGACAAGCTTGACATTACTTGTATAGGAAATATGTTTACCTGACGGATATTGTTGATAGAGCCGAAAACTCGCTAATCTTTTCGGAACAGGTGGAATTATTCTCCTTTGACTATTTTAAAGTACTTCCCTGTAATGTATTCCTTTGTTAATATTGCCCTAGTTCCATCGAATGTGAGTTCGAAGAACAATTTTGTTTACACTTTAACTGTTTCTTAGAAACATATAATTATTTGTATATGTTCAATCGATGTGTGGTTATTTCATGTTTTTATTAGATGCACAGATTAAGTGATTGTATATCTTTAGTCAATGTAAAGTCTAGACATATTTCGTCCAAAACGAGGCAAAAACGCAGGACATAACCAGAGCTGCCATATTTAACTTTTGTCTGAACTTACGAAATTGTGTTTGTACGTAAATGTTTTAGTAGCCAGCAAATTTCTCCCATAAATGTAAAACAAATGTAACCATTTTTTGCAGGTCTTTTTTCTGATCGGCATAGTGACCTATTCCGAACTTGATTACAAGCGGCCTTTGACCACGTATCACTACCCCGATTGGGCGGTGGCGATAGGATGGGTAATGGCGATGTCCTCCACCCTTTGGGTTCCAGCTCTTATCATACACAAATTCATAAAGCACGGATTTTCGATGAAGGTATGTAAATATAAAGTGACTGATATACGCGGTGGGACTTAAACTCAGATTAGATAATGCGCGAACATGTAGCCTGCTGAAGTTCCTTATATTCCTGGTTTAGGTTCATTCAGTATCGCGGTGGGTGATAGTTTTTATAAATTCGTATATTTCTGTGCATGTCGAAAAAGTTGTCTTATAATCATGTCAGACTGATGATTCACACACTTTATGTACATTTATTTTCTATTGTTTCAGACGTTTAAGCTGTTTCTTGCCTATTTTGTATTGTTTCAGACGTTTAAGCTGTTTCTTGCCTATTTTGTATTGTTTCATACGTTTAAGCTGTTTCTTGCCTATTTTGTATTGTTTCATACGTTTAAGCTGTTTCTTGCCTATTTTGTATTGTTTCATACGTTTAAGCTGTTTCTTGCCTATTTTGTATTGTTTCATACGTTTAAGCTGTTTCTTGCCTATTTTGTATTGTTTCATACGTTTAAGCTGTTTCTTGCCTATTTTGTATTGTTTCATACGTTTAAGCTGTTTCTTGCCTATTTTGTATTGTTTCATACGTTTAAGCTGTTTCTTGCCTATTTTGTATTGTTTCATACGTTTAAGCTGTTTCTTGCCTATTTTGTATTGTTTCATACGTTTAAGCTGATGCCTGCCTATTTTGTATTGTTTCAGACGTTGAAGCTGTTTCTTGCCTATTGTGTATTGTTTCAGACGTTTATGCTGATGCTTGCCTATTTTGTATTGTTTCAGACGTTTAAGATAATGCCTGCCTATTTTGTATTGTTTCATACGTTTAAGCTGTTTCTTGCCTATTTTGTATTGTTTCATACGTTTAAGCTGTTTCTTGCCTATTTTGTATTGTTTCATACGTTTAAGCTGTTTCTTGCCTATTTTGTATTGTTTCATACGTTTAAGCTGTTTCTTGCCTATTTTGTATTGTTTCATACGTTTAAGCTGTTTCTTGCCTATTTTGTATTGTTTCATACGTTTAAGCTGTTTCTTGCCTATTTTGTATTGTTTCATACGTTTAAGCTGTTTCTTGCCTATTTTGTATTGTTTCATACGTTTAAGCTGTTTCTTGCCTATTTTGTATTGTTTCATACGTTTAAGCTGTTTCTTGCCTATTTTGTATTGTTTCATACGTTTAAGCTGTTTCTTGCCTATTTTGTATTGTTTCATACGTTTAAGCTGTTTCTTGCCTATTTTGTATTGTTTCATACGTTTAAGCTGATGCCTGCCTATTTTGTATTGTTTCAGACGTTGAAGCTGTTTCTTGCCTATTGTGTATTGTTTCAGACGTTTATGCTGATGCTTGCCTATTTTGTATTGTTTCAGACGTTTAAGATAATGCCTGCCTATTTTGTATTGTTTCATACGTTTAAGCTGTTTCTTGCCTATTTTGTATTGTTTCCAACGTTTAAGCTGTTTCTTGCCTATTTTGTATTGTATCAGACGTTTAAGCTGTTTCTTGCCTATTTTGTATTGTTTCATACGTTTAAGCTGATGCCTGCCTATATTGTATTGTTTCATACGTTTAAGCTGATGCTTGCCTATTTTGTATTGTTTCAGACGTTTAAGCTGATGCTTGCCTATTTTGTATTGTTTCAGACGTTTAAGCTAATGCCTGCCTATTTTGTATTGTTTCATACGTTTAAGCTGTTTCTTGCCTATTTTGTATTGTTTCATACGTTTAAGCTGTTTCTTGCCTATTTTGTATTGTTTCATACGTTTAAGCTGTTTCTTGCCTATTTTGTATTGTTTCATACGTTTAAGCTGTTTCTTGCCTATTTTGTATTGTTTCATACGTTTAAGCTGATGCCTGCCTATTTTTTTATTGTTTCATACGTTTAAGCTGTTGCTTGTCTATTTTGTATTGTTTAGACTTTTAACCTGATGCCTGCCTATTTCGTATTGTTTCAGACTTTTAAGCTGATGCTTGCCTATTTTGTATTGTTTCAGACGTTTAAGCTGTTTCTTGCCTATTTTGTATTGTTTCAGACGTTTAAGCTGTTTCTTGCCTATTTTGTATTGTTTCATACGTTTAAGCTGTTTCTTGCCTATTTTGTATTGTTTCATACGTTTAAGCTGTTTCTTGCCTATTTTGTATTGTTTCATACGTTTAAGCTGTTTCTTGCCTATTTTGTATTGTTTCATACGTTTAAGCTGTTTCTTGCCTATTTTGTATTGTTTCATACGTTTAAGCTGTTTCTTGCCTATTTTGTATTGTTTCATACGTTTAAGCTGTTTCTTGCCTATTTTGTATTGTTTCAGACGTTTAAGCTGTTTCTTGCCTATTTTGTATTGTTTCATACGTTTAAGCTGTTTCTTGCCTATTTTGTATTGTTTCAAACGTTTAAGCTGTTTCTTGCCTATTTTGTATTGTTTCATACGTTTAAGCTGTTTCTTGCCTATTTTGTATTGTTTCATACGTTTAAGCTGTTTCTTGCCTATTTTGTATTGTTTCATACGTTTAAGCTGTTTCTTGCCTATTTTGTATTGTTTCATACGTTTAAGCTGTTTCTTGCCTATTTTGTATTGTTTCATACGTTTAAGCTGTTTCTTGCCTATTTTGTATTGTTTCATACGTTTAAGCTGTTTCTTGCCTATTTTGTATTGTTTCATACGTTTAAGCTGTTTCTTGCCTATTTTGTATTGTTTCATACGTTTAAGCTGTTTCTTGCCTATTTTGTATTGTTTCATACGTTTAAGCTGTTTCTTGCCTATTTTGTATTGTTTCATACGTTTAAGCTGATGCCTGCCTATTTTTTTATTGTTTCATACGTTTAAGCTGTTGCTTGTCTATTTTGTATTGTTTAGACTTTTAACCTGATGCCTGCCTATTTCGTATTGTTTCAGACTTTTAAGCTGATGCTTGCCTATTTTGTATTGTTTCAGACGTTTAAGCTGTTTCTTGCCTATTTTGTATTGTTTCAGACGTTTAAGCTGTTTCTTGCCTATTTTGTATTGTTTCATACGTTTAAGCTGTTTCTTGCCTATTTTGTATTGTTTCATACGTTTAAGCTGTTTCTTGCCTATTTTGTATTGTTTCATACGTTTAAGCTGTTTCTTGCCTATTTTGTATTGTTTCATACGTTTAAGCTGTTTCTTGCCTATTTTGTATTGTTTCATACGTTTAAGCTGTTTCTTGCCTATTTTGTATTGTTTCATACGTTTAAGCTGTTTCTTGCCTATTTTGTATTGTTTCAGACGTTTAAGCTGTTTCTTGCCTATTTTGTATTGTTTCATACGTTTAAGCTGTTTCTTGCCTATTTTGTATTGTTTCATACGTTTAAGCTGTTTCTTGCCTATTTTGTATTGTTTCATACGTTTAAGCTGTTTCTTGCCTATTTTGTATTGTTTCATACGTTTAAGCTGATGCCTGCCTATTTTGTATTGTTTCACACGTTTAAGCTGATGCCTGCCTATTTTGTATTGTTTCAGACTTTTAACCTGATGCCTGCCTATTTTGTATTGTTTCATACGTTTAAGCTGATGCCTGCCTATTTTGTATTGTTTCAGACGTTTAAGCTAATGCCTGCCTATTTTGTATTGTTTCAGACGTTTAAGCTGATGCTTGTCTATTTTGTATTGTTTCATACGTTTAAGCTGATGCCTGCCTATTTTGTATTGTTTCAGACGTTTAAGCTGATGATTGCCTTTTTTGTGTTGTTTCCAACGTTTAAGCTGTAGCCTATTTTGTATTTATTTTTTTATTGTTTCATACGCTTAAGCTGATGCCTGCCTATCTTTTATTGTTTCAGACGTTTAAGCTGATGCTTGTCCCGGTTGGTCTGAAGGATCATCAACTGAGGCCTGAGGACAGAGGAGAGAAATCCCTACATATCTTACAAAATGGATATAATTAAAGCTTCTTAATTGCTAGAGTGATGACAGTATTTATCAAATTTGTATCAAATGTAAAATCATATAATGTAACTACAGAGTTTAAACTTCGTAAATATACTTTATTTCTGCAGTAAAATATGATGTATTAAGTGAGGTTTTAATATTAATCTATGGTATAGTGATTGCTGTAGAACACACATATTTACTTACTATAAGTATGAGCAGCTTTTATTAGTCCGTACGTTGTTTTGATGAAACAGAATATTCAGATATGTAACTTTGTAAATGTCGTGGTTACTACTGGGTACAGTGAATGTTCCTACATCCCTTGCTCGTTCAAGCTGTGAAAAACTGATGAATAACCTTTGTACAGACGTAATTTCTTTTAACATATACAGATATCTACAACTGTGGTTTTTAGTATCTGGTTTTATTTGAACATTATACCCCGAATTCTAAGGTATTTGCTGAGTTAACTCATATGGAACGTCCGTTAGTCAACAGATTAACATCTGCCTTTACAAATGAAGTTTGTACTGAGTTTATAGCTGTATAATTAACATTTGAAAACCATCATCTGCAAAATAACATATGGCAATATTAAAATCACAAAGGGAAATAAAGTATTTCACAACAAGAACATAATGGCGACATTAAAACATTCCCATATTCTTCATGAATTATTCCAGTGTTTTTTTCGATTTCATTTTCTTTATTTGTTGTCATTTGTTGCCTCAGTAGTTTAGAACTACACATTTTACACGACAGGAACACTAAATTAACATGCAAATAAATAAGACTCCAGTGCTGCAACACTTAAAATACTTTTCAGTATTAATAACAAATACGATTATAGCTTGTTTAATTAGAATCATATTTTAAAAGCAATATAAATCATCTTATTGCGATATACCTTCGTGCACTTCATCCGTTTCTTGGTTGCAAAACAATTTGGAAGTTGATATTGAAGTAACAAATTCTGTCACATTCTCTGGTACGTGCACATATTTCACATTTAATTCCTCTCTGCAGTTGATTCTTTGAGTTCTTTTTGTCTATCAGTGTCAGGTTGCTTTGACATAACTCTGCTAACATGTCATCATTCATTAAGAGGCACGTTTCTCCACGTGACCATACCTTGACTCATCACTATCACGTGACTCTCCGACAGACAGATGTTTCAGTTTTCCTGCATGCCCTCTAACCTTGCATGTAATCATAACTCGTCTCTAAATTGGCGATTTTGAATCAAAGGAAAGTAACTCTGAATCCATAGTTGCTCAATTATGATAATTTAATTCTTATATATGTTATGTAATTTAATTTTCTAATAATAAAAGGACAAAAAGGAATAAAATATTTTAATGTAAATCACGAAATAAATGTAAAAATGACAATTGTTCTAAAGTAATATAAAAACTAGCATTTATACTGTTTGATACTTATTAGCATGTTTATTAACAATTTGAGAAGAACAGAGGTTATGCACAAGGCTATGGATGTAAATGATATTTGAAGACGAATCATTTTGCCACTGAATTTTATAACACTCATCTTTTTATATCTTATTATTAATAAATGTCACTCAATAAATATATGTATATGCTATTTTTAATCATCAATGTCTTTCGACATTTGGTATTTTATAATAAATAAATCTCACACTCGTCGATCTTGTTATTCGAGTGTTTTCAAATGGTATACATTAATATTTGTTTCCATTATGGCAAAACGTGTTTTAATGAGGAATGTGTCATCTGATGTGTCCAGTATGATATGAATGATGACATCATGTTATGACCTAGTACCCTCGAACTCACATAACACCATATGTTCTGACTGACTCAAGGTTTAGCACCTTATACCTAACATGTTTTATTAGATATAAGAAACCTCATCGTTCTCTACTGTTAAGGGAAGTCACACTTTACTGTATGACAGGACGTAGCTGTGACGGAAACGAATCTTTGCTTACTGACATGGACCTAGTTTTAGAGAATCACAAAACAAATCAACAGTATTTGGCGAGACACACCTGCCCTTGTTGTTGTAGGTTTTAGCCACACATAACTTGAGTATAGGATTGAAACTCGAGCGCGAAATGATTTTAAAAAACTGTAGCATTCTATTTAATTTGTAACATTACTCTACAGCGCTTCGCATCACAGGTTAAAGAATAATTCTGGAGTTGCTCAGCCATAAACAATTATAAGACATATAATCTTCACTATAGACATAGAGTTCAGATATTTTAGTTATGTGTTTACCGGGTGACATGGTATAAATAGCACGTCTGCACTAAACAATGAACAATGCAGACGTAAACAGGTGCGTTCTAACATCCAATCAGCAAATAATATGGGCTCTGCATTATCCTTTTATTTTCGCTTGCTTCAGAGAAAAACATATTTTGTGCATTTTATGTGCTTACACGTTTGTTTAACATATGTAAGAACCGGTGGATATTTAATTACGGTACATTCTCATAAAACTTGTTGTTCATTAAAAACTACGATTTTTAATACAAACAGAAATTAAAAGGTGTTTGCGAGCTTTTGAACACGTTTGTTTCGGTCTCAAGCAAATAATGTGAAGGATAGATTTATCGTCTCTTAAAGCTGAAACCAATGTGTCGGGTTAGTAACGTCAGCTGTAACACAATATCGTGACATTTCGCCAAATGCCAAAATTTCGCAGACGGTCAGAGGGACGGGTAATATGTTAACCCATTCCGTCCTTTAGTGGATGTTAAAATGACGTTAGCAGATGACTCAGCTGGTGCCCCACGTCTCTCTGTTCATCGATTCCTCTTCCTTCCTTACCCAGATTGACTTTCGAGTTGTCCTCCCTTTCAAGCAATATCGAGTTGTTCCAGTCTATGATGTGGCTGTGTATATAAGCATGGTCTGTAAAGGCTGATTTCTGATGTTGTTTCGTCGATGTCTTTCTTGTATTAATGCTAGACTTGCAGATGTTGCAGGGGTGTCTAAATCAATTTCAAGAGTGTTTCACAAACATCACATCACCACGCCCATTAGTTCGAATTATTCTGACGTTTTATCGACTTTTTTCATATCGGTCTGTCGTAAATTAACGTCAGAACTCCGGCCCTCTATAATATGCGGGAAATATGCGACCCGCGCCCGGAGCGCACTTCAAACTGATAGTTTAGAAACAAATCGTCTGACGTTAATCGACGACAGACCGATATGAAAAATGTCGATAAAACGTCAGAATAATTCGGACTACGCCCATGCGACCACGCAATAAACAACGTTCATCCGAAGGTAAATGCCGAAGGATGGTTTACTAAATGTAACAGTTGTAACCATACAAACATACATCGGGGAAACTGGCCGGACATTTCCTGACTCCTCAAAAAACATGTTCTGTTGATTTATATACACTTTTATTAGAGAAAAAACAAAAGAGTCTTCATAAAAATTGAACTTTATTGCAGAAAATGACATTATACTACGAATGAGTTTGACATAGCAATTTTATCGACTTGATCAGTTGTTTGTAGTGACGAGTATGACGTCATGGTCAACTGATGATTGGTGACAGATACACGTTTATTTAGGTATCCCACAATTCACCATAAAATCGTATATTACGAGCACGTTAATGCAAACTCATCTTCATTATTACAAAAATGAATTGACAAGAATTGGCAAGAAATATTCTTATGATGTTGGCTATAGTGTTCACTTATGTACCTATGTATGTACTAAGTCGTTACACATAATGTGTGTTTATATATCGATACACTATACATAAATGAAAGCGTGTACGTACAGATAAACCGGTTCCCAGTTTTTTTTCTGTTTTTGCGTGAATAGGTACTTTTGTTGTGTGTGATGGTGTATATCAAAGTCTGATTATACTTTTGAGAATGTATATATTGGTGGTTGTTAGGATATGTACGTGTGCGAGTATATATATATATATATATATATATCAATGTTTGTTTTGGAGAAAGTGTATGCTATGCATATTTTGTGGAGGAGTATGGTTGCCTGTATTTATCGAGGGATATGTGTAGAGAATGTATATGTGTGTACAATTTCTTGGGATAGGTGTGGCTGTGTTTGTATGTATTGATATGTGTATGGAGAGTTATGTGTTATGTATATTTGGGAAATGATATGGGTGTCTGTCTATGTCCGAAGAGATGTATATACCTATGTTTGGGATGATGTGGTTTGTATATGTGTGAGATGTATATACCTATGTTTGGGATGATGTAGTTTGTATATGTGTGAGATGTATATACCTATGTTTCGGATGGTGTGGTTTGTATATGTGTGAGACGTATATTCCTATGTTTGGGATGGTGTGGTTTGTATATGTGTGAGATGTATATGCCTTTGTTTGGGATGATGTGGTTTGTATATGTGTGAAATGTATATACCTATGTTTGGGATGATGTGGTTTGTATATGTGTGAGATGTATATTCTTATGTTTGGGATGATGTGGTTTGTATATGTGTGAGATGTATATACCTATGTTTCGGATGGTGTGGTTTGTATATGTGTGAGACGTATATTCCTATGTTTGGGATGGTGTGGTTTGTATATGTGTGAGATGTATATTCCTATGTTTGGGATGGTGTGGTTTGTATATGTGTGAGATATATATACCTATGATTGGGATGGTGTGGTTTGTATATGTGTGAGATGTATATACCTATGTTTGGGATGGTGTGGTTTGTATATGTGTGAGATGTATATTCTTATGTTTGGGATGATGTGGTTTGTATATGTGTGAGTTGAGAAGAATTGATATGCAAACAAAGCTGCTTTCCGTTTCATTTCGACTTCGTTACGTCTGGCTGTTTAGATCATTTAGCGACTTCTCCCCTTTGTCTTCGGGTCTAAGCTGGTGATTCTTGAGTCCAATGGGGACCATCATCAGTCGGAGAGTCTGCAATTAATGTTTTAAGATGACGGTTGTATTACTCTTAGAAGTTCACGTCAAGAGTTGTTAAGTTTTATAACCACACTCTATAGTACACAAATAATTTATGATGTAATAAGTATCAAAACAAATATTAGTAAATAATGTCGGAACTTTCAAATAATAGGTTATACAGGTAGGAATGCCTGATACATGTGTGTAAGAAAATGCCATAAAATTCTTAATTTTGTTATGCTTCACTATTTCAATATCTTCAATAAGATTCATCAGTTTGGAAATATGTGATATCAAAGTTTTACCTTCTACACAAACAATGTACGTATTAAACGTGTCGCAAAGTTTCAAAACCGACTGCTCCCTTAGTCAAGCTATTAGAAAGCTTCACAAAGGGACCAGTCGGTCTTGAAACTATTTCAAACTTGCTTACAGCGAAACAAAACAAATCGTCTGAGGAAGAGAAACATGCAATGCAGATATCAACAACGTCATCAGGTTTGAATCAACAATTACGTCTGATATTAATAGTTCAAATATGAAAACTCTACCTCCATCGTAAATCCATATTTGAAGAATTTGTGGATGATGAGTGCTGGGATCCAGACAGCTGATGACATAGCCATGATCCATCCTATCGCTACAGCCCAGTCTGGGTACTGGTAGGTCATAGTCGGCCTTTTATAGTCCAGCTCAGAGTACGTCACAATGCTGATGAGGAAAAACACCTACAACAAACGTCATTGTAGAAAAATATTATGAAGTAACCATTAATAAAAAATGTTTTTTTATCTTGTGGTTTCAAAGTTCAAAGTCCATTTTCACATGTTTGATTAAAGATTTACGGCAGTGTTTATTGCATGATGTTTATGCAGATGCTTTGTAGGTTTGGGATTGTTCATTGAAATAGATCAATTGTGATAAAAGAAATAAGAACGAAAAGAAAACTAAATTATGGTAGAAAATATCAGATAAAAGGAAAGAATGAAGTCAATGAAATATTCTACAGCGTAACAACGCTATCGGGGCGAAGTTTAGGAAATGTAATGATGTATAAAATTACCACAAAATTGTTAATGATCAACGTTGGATTGACCTGTAAACAACTGTACCCAAAATAACAGAATCGTTACTAGCACTTCACCGATGTAAGCTACTTACTATACAGAACAGCGGTGTCAGGACTGTCCACGCTAGCCACATATAACGGCTGATACGGTGACCCAGCATCATCTCAATGTTGTCGTAGATTCGATTTATACCTTAAAAGGACATTTATCAAAATGAATATTGTTAGAATAATGCAGTATATTTACTCTAAGGCCATTTCATTTCATGAGCGATGTGAACATGCGAGGAATGTCATTTATGAAAAGCATACTTGTTAAAGTTGATAATAACAACAAATATATGATACTTTAACAGGCGTGATTTGAAAAACGCATTCGCCACTTGTGATATCCCATTTCTTGATTAAATGCCAATAAAAATAGTAATATAATACATCTCTACTAAACTCTTTACCGGAAATTACAGTCCTTGAAATATATTTCTTTTAATCATATAACGTGGCAAACACATGACAATCCATAAAAGAAGAGTAGAAACTACGGGACGAAACCTATCCAAAAGTCACTGACAATAACACAGCAAACAACATCCTAAAGGCACTAATACATCCTTACACAAGAACCTATTCAACAACTCACTACAAACTAAGATTTACTGCAACACCTTCAACGGCTCACTTTAAATTTCTGACACAGTCACACACTGTGCACAACCCACAATAAATATATGATACAGTACCCTATTAAACAACTTACTATAAACTGATGACACAGCCAAACATTCTACAACTTACCACCAATCTTTGACATAACAATACATGTATACGTTCATATAAATCGAATTCACATCCCCAGCTCCATTACTTACCATAAATCCACAGGCCCATTTCTTACAATAGATTCACTGACCCATGACTAACCATAGATCTACAGCTTCATAACTTACCATAGATCCACATGCCCATTACTTCCCATATATCCACATGCCCATTACTTACAATATATCCACATGCCCATTACTTACCGTAGATCCACATGGCCATTACTTACCGTAGATCCACATGCCCATTACTTACCATAGATCAACATGCCCGTTATTTACCATAGATCAACATGCCCTTAACTTCCCATGTATCCACATGCCCATTACTTACCATATATCCACGAAACAGCAACACATTCAGCAAAGGCCACCAATAAGATTACCCTATTGCCAGAGTAGTAATCAAATATTTGAAACACGTACATCCCTCCCTGGAATACAAGTAGTATATTGAACTTTTTAAATATCAAAACGGTAAGATATATATTATATTCAAAACCATTCTGTGAGATGAAATAGTATTATACTGTATTAAATTGTAAGTTTATCATATGCTTCATTGTTCTGTGATTACATTACATATGTGAGAAATGTATCTATTGTGTCTCTCATCGATTAGTATATGTATATTATTCATTAGTTCATATATCAGCTGGTATATCTGCGTTTTCCGTTTGTTAGTTTTCCTTCGTTAGTATTTTATTATTTCTTGATTTCTTTTGGTTAGCATTTTTAGTTTTCCTGGTGTTGCTATTTTAGTGTATTTTTCATTGATTACTATTTCAGTGCTTTTCTATGATTGGTATATCTGTTTTTCGTATAATATTTTTCTCTTAGTCATTGGTTAGTCTGTTGAGCTTTTTGGGGGCGTTTCCATTGGTTTTAATTTCTGTTCTTTATAAGCTAATATTTCAGTATTTTCCCTCTTTTTTTGATTATCCCTTTTTTTTGTACATTTATAATTGTTTTTGTTTTTCAATCACTAAGTCAATCTTATTATTTTAAATGCAGAAAATATTGATTATTTTATAAGTTTTGATGCATGTTCTACCAAACTGAACGTCATTATCGGCCAAACACCTTCCTAACTCTCCAAACTTTCTTGGGCAATTTCATTCAAAACAAAAACGAGTTATATATGAAACGTTTATCAATCAAACCTATGATATTTACCTCGGCAATCATTGATAGACCAATAAGATATGACACGGCGCAGACGACAGCTATAAATATCTCCTTCCGGTATCCCCGTCTTAGAATGTGGGCGTACTGATCTACGACGGGAGTGATGAAACCTTCCATTTGTACAAACTAAAATGAATATAAAGAAAACAAATCAACGCCGTACTGATAGCATTAGACCCTAAAATTGGAAACATAAGTCGGTTCATTAAAACGAATCATTTGAAAGGCTAGATGTCAACGATTTCTTGAATGCAGATATTTGAATAGAAACATCAATATAGATAGTCGATCCTCTATTATTAGAGATTAATTGCTGCAGTAACAAAAACCAAAATCAATGTCAGAATCATTTTTTGCGGTCTGGCATTTTTTATTTATTTTTGTGAAATAAAAGTAAAACATTTTAACAATCGAAAAGTCCAACAAATGGAGTTAACAAGTAGCCTGACAAGGAACACTAATATCTACAAATCAAGTACATTAATTATAGTAAACGATATTGTCGTAAGTCAGAAAAATTGTTCTCACTCTGCATCAATGTCAATTTTTAGCCTTTATTATTTTGAAAGATTCGTAATGAAATGCACTGTGATATTCTGAATATTTGAGTAGCCATTATGTATATGAGTTTGTTTCACTTTAAGAGATAAGAGACTATCCTATAAGTAACATTTAGTCGATCAGCTGTATTACTATGTAGACGGTTCATTTGATTAACTAAAAGGTAATTTATACTTATGTAAGTATGTATTTATGTATTGCCTGCGAACACCGTATTTGAAACTATACCTGCCATATACATGTAGGACATTGAGAAACCGAATCGCCCTTGTAAACCTATAATAAATCAGGATGTGGTTCCGAAGGGTATTCATATCCGTTGAATTAAATCTTACTACTGGTCTGTTGTTTTGTTATTTTATTCTAATTTAGAATTTCATTTACAAACATACATTAAATTGATCTGTACTAGACGTGGGGATGTAGTTTAGTAAGCGTTCAGTATTTTTCCCCCTTTTAATTATATATCCATTAATTCAATTTAAATTACAGATTCGTTCACATAAAATTCTCTACCTATCAAGTTAAGGTAACACTAAAAGTGCTAGTTTGATATATAACTTTAAGTGTTCACATATTAAACATGTTTCCAGAATATGTTAGTCGATATAAGGGCAAAGATCCCGATAAGCATCATACTTATTTATGATTTTGAAAATATAACAATGCTATACAATCAATGTGCTTATTCATTACGAATCGGTGACAAACCCTCAAAAAACAACTGTTTTTTAAAGCAATGAATGAAACTTCACAAAGCATGGGAAAGATTCAAGAATGGTTAATATCGTGGCACCAAGAAGATATAGAAATCGAAAACTAATAAATTTAAATACAATGTAGTTCTGTTGCCATATATTGCTGTCTTCAACGACAACTAGAGAATGCCGAAATGGCCACAAATCGTATTTCGAGCAATAGATCGATAAAACTGAGACAAACTATTAACAAAAGAACACTAAATATTGAGACCCTTGAAAAGGTGCGAAGGGAATAAGACCATGCGTTCTGCTAGGGTAAGCGCCCTCTGGATCATCGACAAGTCCGCGCTGTATTGTTCCTTTCGCGTTCTCGTAACTTTGCATTGAAAAGAAACTATACTTTTTCTGACTTCCCAGAGAGAAAAACTAATAGGATGAAATGTAAAAAGAAAAATAGCATCAGTGTTCTGAATGTAAATTAAGAAAAAAACAAATCCGTACCAAGATTCGAACCCGGGAATATTATTTGTATACTGTCACAATAACCAACTGGCCAGCGGTCGCTCTCCAGTTATATGGAAAACCAAAATAAAGGGAGATAACTGTATGAACAATAAGCCTACAATATCATTTTTAAGTTCATTATCTTCACTTGGACAGGGATCCCTTACTAATGTGGCGTTTTAATAGTTGGGATATTATATAAAAATCGTACTTCGGAAGAGTTTTCATTGCCTCGAAATAATCAAATGTCGTGAAAAATGAAAAATTGTAAAAGTGTTTTTATATAACTGACATGTGAAAGAGGTCAAGGACAATTCTTCAAAAATGACATCAATAATTTACAACATGGACCACATCATAAGCACACAGAACAATCAATATTTTGACACGTTTGGCTTGTTAATGGCTTCTCAGATGATGCATAAGTGACACTATTTACAGGGTTAAAATACCGTTTTTTATAGAATCATATTAAAACAAAGTTTGAAAGACGTGTCACATTCCAGAATCAAAGCAAAACATTTCTGATTTGTCTGTTTTTAAATGCATTTTTGATGGGCCATTATCAAAAATTGCAACAAAACAACACATTTAAGGCAATTCAATGACAATTATTTTATAACGAGTCTACCTTTTCCCTCGGTCAGTTTTGTATACTGAGTCATGACGACTTCCGGTTCCGGGTCATCCGTCTCTGAATCTGTTATCAATGTGTTGTACATAAGGACTTTACAAACCCTCGTTTTTTTATTAAGGCTCCTCCCTGTGGACCTGTCAATAACTCTCATAATACAATAGATTGTACCTCAAAAATGGCCTCGGTCTTTACCTGGTAGTTGCCAATGACAATCGATTCCGAGATTTTGAGTTTGGAATGTGCAGGACTGTAGAAAAGTGATTTGTCTGTGGTTGTTAGTTACACTGATCAGGTTATATATTTAATTCCGATATAATTGCTAATTGGCGTTATGTTTAGTCAGTTACGTCATGTTTGTTTCACATCACCCAAACACATGCAAATACAGTGTTTTCATTGTTTGCATTAAGTCGAAAAAAAACAACGAAAACCATCCCCGCGAGGTAAAATTGATCATGTAAATTTGTTAAATACGGTACGTGGTAAAATATTGAATACTGAAATAAAGGAGAAACAAGTCGATAATTCCTGCATTTTGGTTTGTGTACAGGTTAGTCGAATACCCTGCGTGAAGAAAAAGGGAAGGTTATGAACACTTTATCAAGAGTCACAGGAAAAAACATCCTAGAATGAAATAGCAATATAAGGCTTCAGTCAACATTATTACAATACAAAATACCTGAAACAAATGCAATAGCTATATCCGCAATTGCAGTGTAATACAAATACAATTTCTTTCTTTATTGCACTGTATTTCATATCAAACATAAGCATTACATCTGTCAGCATTTTACCTAAGAACAAAATATTTTCAATTCACAACACTGCGCTCTAGTAAACAGCTATTCGTTGATATCTTTGTCATTCTCTCAAGTGTTTGGTAAGACAGAGACAAACAAATGCATCAATGGAAAAATGCCCACATTTTCAATTGATTAATATTTCAATAATTGTATTTGTTATGGTATTTTGTTCTTGAGCTATGATTCAGTTTTGGGATCCTCATTAATACTGTTATTCGACAAAGATAGATACAGACATCCAACAGAAAAAGAGAGAAAGAGAAACACAGTTAGACATACAGGGGAGAGGGGGGATGGGGGGGGGNTGGGATTAGGGTGTGTGTGTGTGTTAATATGGAGGGGGGGGGGGGGGGGGGGGGGGGGGGGGGGTAAAGAGAGGGAGAGGAAAATAGAGACAGAGACAGATAGACAGGATGAGAGGATACAGAGATAAAGAGATCGAAAGAAACATAAAAGAGGTAGAAAATAACATATTTATATCAATTAGATTTTATACATGATTGTGTCGAAGGTAAAAACAAAGGGGTCTTATTTTAAGTGAATTGGTAAAATGAGAAACCATGTGTGGGTAAGCAGTGTAAGGAGAATGGGTCGTATTTTCAGAACAATTATTCAAAGCGACATTTCTACATCATAGGCTGAAATGAATTTATCAATAGATCTCTACTTTTAATGATAAATCTTGTAGAAGAAAAAGATACATTTGTTATTATCATTATTATATCATGCACTTATTTATGCTTTGGGAATCCTGAACAACTTCAAATAACAACACAATTCCTCTTAATATGCGAAATGGAAAGCAATCTTTAGCAAGCAATGAATAGATTACAGAGATGGTTTTCACTACCTTATACAAAATCACTGATGACGTTTGGAAAACAATTAAGAGAATAACGAAGTTTGAACATAACCGTAAGTCGAAGTTAAAAAACATAACGTTAAATTGTGAGCATGGAGGACATTAAAAAGTTCAAGGAGCGTAAGACCGTGAGCATGATAACACATATCGACATTAACAAGGGGAAAAAAACGAACAATGTTCATGAGTGCGACAAACAAAATCTCATAGTCGCCACTCGAAACCGTATGTTATAGGTTTATCCAAAATCTGTCGACATTACTTACGGAAATTGTAATATTCGGAGCATGACTTCAATTAGCGAATCAACCACCTAGTCATATGTGACATCGTTAACACCGTAGATTGGGAAATTATGGATGTTACTGTCAGGAAAGGGAAAGCTAATGATAGGTTAATTGAAATCGTCACGTATCGTACACTTAATAATAAGCTCTCCACGTTTGTCAAAATAATTCTCATCACATCAGAGAAACATTAAAGAAATGCAGAAATGTCGCTTGAATGGGTATATTTCGAATAGATCGGGAGTTTTTAGAAAGAGTTTTTGTTTTCTTCTTGAAATTGTTTCACATTTTTCATTAAAGTAATTATATTGATCTATGTCATTTATATAAGGAGGTGTATGTAGAGGTAATGGTTAAGGAAATTCTGCTGCGATAACACACCACTAGTTAGTAGAAGAGTACCTGACTGTCAATCCCCAGGAAGATGATCATGATGAAAAACAAGGCAGACCAGACAGGAGCCCCAGGCATCATAGATACGGCCTTGGGATATGCGATGAAGGCGAGACCAGGACCTATAATATGTATTAAGATGAATATTCAACACAAGCATTGCATTAACAAAGTATGGCTTTGACTAATTATTAGCTATATTTAAAATCTTGCTAACCACTAAGTACATACTTAGCGACGTGAGTTGTGATTGACAAGCTAGTCCTAAGACGTTTTTGTTTTCTATTTTAATAATGAACATTGATATTGTTAACTTGTAGACTTGATTATCGTTGATTAAAACAACAAGTTTTTTTAGTCCTTTTACTATTAACATGGAAGATTGTTTCCTATTCTCCTCCATACGCAACCGTTAAGGGTAAAATAACTTTTGGATTGAATTATTTTAATAGTTTTTTATTGTGCCTTGTCTCGTACTTGAGGAAAAGTAACTCGCATTCCTGAAGATTACTTGAACTTGAGGAAAAATACCTAGTTCATGAATAGCTGAAGAAACATCAAATATCTTCTTTGGATATTCGACACTTAATTTACTCAAATTCAACTGTCCATAATTTGTTAAGACCGTAATGAAGAACAACGAAACGAGTTACCAATTTCTATGTTGTTTTTTACTAAAGTTGTATCCGCTTTCTATCAATTATAAGCATTATATATCGTTTCCGTTAAGCATACTGCATCGACGTGTTTTCTATGACATATCACATCATAACTTTATCACCGATGAGTCTTTAAAGGACGAAACACCTGTGTGATGCAGTGTAATTAATTTTCGGAGAATGGCATATAACCAACAGTCCTAAAAGGACGAAACACCTGTGTGATGCAGTGTAATTAATTTTCGGAGAATGGCATATAACCAACAGTCCTAAAGGGACGAAACACCTGTGTAATGCAGTGTAATTAAATTTTGGAGAATGGTATATATAACCAACAGTCTTAAAAGGACGAAACACCTGTGCGATGCAGTGTAATCAATTTGCGGAGAATGGCATATAACCAACAGTCCTAAAAGGACGAAACACCTGTGTGATGCAGTGTATTTAATTTTCGGAGAATGGTATATAACCAACAGTCCTAAAAGGACGAAACACCTGTGTAATGCAGTGTAATTAAATTTTGGAGAATGGTATATATAACCAACAGTCTTAAAAGGACGAAACACCTGTGCGATGCAGTGTAATTAATTTGCGGAGAATGGTATATATTACCAACAGTCTTAACAGGACGAAACACCTGTGTGATGCAGTGTAATTAATTTTCGGAGAATGTTATATAACCAACAGTCTTAAAAGGACGAAACACCTGAGTGATACAGCGTAATTAATTTTCGGAGAATGGTATATTACCAACAGTCTTAAAAGGACGAAACAACTGTGTGATGCAGTGTAATTAATGTTCGGAGAATGGTATATATAGCCAACAGTCTTAAAAGGACGAAACACCTGTGTGATAAAGTGTAATTAATTTTCGGAGAATGGTATATATTACCAACAGTACAGTCCTAAAAGGACGAAACACCTGTGTGATGCAGTGTAATTAGTTTTCGGAGAATGTTATATAACCAACAGTCTTAAAAGGACGAAACACCTGAGTGATACAGCGTAATTAATTTTCGGAGAATGGTATATAACCAACAGCCTTAAAAGGACGAAACACCTGTGTGATACAGTGTAATTAATTTTCGGAGAATGGTATATATTACCAACAGTCTTAAAAGGACGAAACACCATTTGCGGAGAATGGCATATAACCAACAGTCCTAAAAGGAGGAAACACCTGTGTGATGCAGTGTAATTAATTTTTGGAGAATGGTATATAACCAACAGTCTTAAAAGGAAGAAACACCTGTGTGATGCAGTGTAATTAATTTTCGGAGAATGGTATATAACCAACAGTCTTAAAAGCACGAAACACCTGTGTGATACAGCGTAATTAATTTTCGTAGAATGGTATATAACCAACAGTCTTAAAAGGACGAAAAACCTGTGTGATACAGTGTAATTAATTTTCGGAGAATGGCATATAACCAACAGTCCTAAAAGGACGAAACACCTGTGTGATGCAGTGTAATTAGTTTTCGGAGAATGTTATATAACCAACAGTCTTAAAAGGACGAAACACCTGAGTGATACAGCGTAATTAATTTTCGGAGAATGGTATATAACCAACAGCCTTAAAAGGACGAAACACCTGTGTGATACAGTGTAATTAATTTTCGGAGAATGGTATATATTACCAACATTTACATTGCAATAACCCGTGCGTGTCTTACATTCATCAATCTCAACGTTTATTTTGTCAACCTTAAAGTCTGTCCCTCTATGCTCCTAATGTAGTCAAGACAAAAGTCCTAAAAGGACGAAACACCTGTGTGATGCAGTGTAATTAATTTGCGGAGAATGGTATATATTACCAACAGTCTTAACAGGACGAAACACCTGTGTGATGCAGTGTAATTAATTTTCGGAGAATGTTATATAACCAACAGTCTTAAAAGGACGAAACACCTGAGTGATACAGCGTAATTAATTTTCGGAGAATGGTATATAACCAACAGCCTTAAAAGGACGAAACACCTGTGTGATACAGTGTAATTAATTTTCGGAGAATGGTATATATTACCAACAGTCTTAAAAGGACGAAACACCTGTGTGATGCAGTGTAATTAGTTTTCGGAGAATGTTATATAACCAACAGTCTTAAAAGGACGAAACACCTGTGTGATACAGTGTAATTAATTTTCGGAGAATGGTATATATTACCAACATTTACATTGCAATAACCCGTGTGTGTCTTACATTCATCAATCTCAACGTTTATTTTGTCAACCTTAAAGTCTGTCCCTCTATGCTCCTAATGTAGTCAAGACAAAAACCATATGTCGTGTTTAATCGTAACAAAATTACTTAATATATCGTAAATCATTGCATATGCCTTAGAAAGTGTCAACAACTGAAATTAAAAAATAGATATACATATAAACTACTGAATTTGTAAAATCATCATTGACATTGACAAACGTCATTACGAATTTACATTAACTGGAAATCGATAAATACAAAAATTATAATGTAGTAAGATGTTACTGATGTTAACTGGGTTAATTGTTTATTTGAAAGCGAAATTGGGTTTTGGAGAAATTGCCGCACATGTGGTTTACATGTGTGAACGATATTTATTCATTACAAAACTACGAATCAATATTATAATGATTTGACTCATGTTACAGCAAGTTTTATAAACTCAAGTTTTAAAAACACAAATAAACTGGAACAGGATAATAAATGAGGGCCGGAAATCATAAGTCCTCGATAATACATACATATGCACTCATTTACATCTCATTTCATACAAACAATATTTCTCGATGGTACGTTTTGACGTGACAAGTTCAAAGGGTTATCACATTGCTGGATTTAATATCGCTCAGGAATACAAAGTGGAGTTAGAGCATGCAGGTGTTATTCAGCCTAGGGTAAATGTATCCTCGTTATGTATAGCAATGTGTCTGACGTCAACAAGACACATAAAAATACCACAAGTCTATTACCTTTGACACGGGTCCTTAAAAATGGACATTTAATTAGATATATAATGTAGGAGATATTTCTGTTAAAAAACACATAATCTAAGTATGTTGAAGAGAGAGAAATGCCAAGCCATTGAGCCTTATTTATATTCCTTATCTTTTCGGAGGAATTCCCTATCAACATCATCATCATCAGCAGCAGCAGCAGCAGCAGCATCATCATCATCATTAAAACACTAGCACTCACATACGAACATGATTTGCATTTTGTCATATCTGGTCACATAATCTAAGCTTTCCCGTAAGATTACCATGATCGCTACCGTCATGTGTCATGGGCAGATCACAATGCATATCAATACTAGAACAAGGGGAGTAACTCCAGAGGGTTGTTTCCAATTTCCTATTTTCATTTATTGAATCATGTAATTCATAACCAATCTGAAACAATATGAATAATGCGTTTTTAAAACGTACATTTATAGTGTTATGTATTTTCGCAACTAACTAAACTTGGGTAAACAAATCTGTATTGTTTAGGCTTTTTCACAAACAGCCGTATGACTCCTTCAAAATATTCATTTAGTGAGAAACATAATGAAATTTCTGTTAAAAGTTTTTTCTTCAGACAACAATGTCGCGTTAGTTCTATAAAGTGACGTCATCTTACAACGATACGATACGTCGTTATAGTGTCATTGTGACCAGCAGAAAGCGTCTACCCTCAAAATGTCGACCGCTGCCTTTGTCTCACGAAAATCACCAAGTATTGCGCGAACGTGATACAATACCAATCGTTCTTTTACGAATAGGTATACACAATCTAATTAAAATTATATCTTCACATCGCTCCCGTTTACTGAGATGTCGCGTTGAAGATCTGACAACATCCCGTAGAGGGTTATATCAGAGGTCAACATGAATGCATTATCATATTTATAACAAGCCAATCAAAACGCGACATAACTCTTTCTTAAAACCAATCAGAAAGCAGGACCTGTAGCATTTAATGCAGACACCTCGTAGCCCAAAATCCACTTTTTCGTCTGGTCCAGTGGTTGTTTGAATATTGCGAAGCCTGTCATTGGTTAATTTTAGTTTCAGGTTGTTAAACTTTTAAACGACAACATCCCCAGAAGAGGAAGTCTCTCTTATTTCAAAGCAAAATCCACAAATTGTACAAACGTTGTCTTGGAGATAGACATGGCGTGGTGTAATGGGCGCCGCCATTTTCGATGCTCATTTGGCACCTCTCGGTCTTTTATCATAGCAAGTGTGTTCCGAAATCGTTACATCATCACTTACAGAAAAGCGTAAGCTCTCATCTGATTGGTTAGTGCAAAGGTCACCTGAACATGACCCTCTACGGGATGTTGTTAGCTCTTCAACGCGACATATCAGAAAACGGGAGCGATGTGAAGATATAATTTTAATTAGATTGAGGTATACAGAATCTTTCACACATAATATAGAAATGTTTTGTTGCATTGTCAGTGTCAGTCTATAAAGGAACAATGCAGGAAGGAGGCAACCAATCATTAAATATCTATGGCGATGTAATCTTTTCTCAATATTGAAACCTTTTTAGTGAAATATTCACAAAGTTGTTATCCTCATACACACATATTATGGTTTCTTTTATCGTTTTACCTTTTGTAAAGGACAATACTTGTACAGGTCAGCAGGGCGGGGATACTAAATGTACGTCATACGAACAGCAAGCCATCACAGATAGCAGGCGTATATCAGATTACAAAATGTACGTTGTTGATGTTGGACTTATTGAAAAGCAAAACATCAAAGCAATAAAATATTAAATGTTTCGTCTAATGCATTAGCTGAATGGGTAGATATGCGGTCATTTACGTAATACTACACATTAAAGTGCTTAAACAGTCATTTTTATACAAAACAAAATGCCGAGGAACCTAAATGATTGACATTCTGTGTTTATGAATGTCTGAAAGGTGGATATTTATTTAGCACTAATTCTAAAAATAGACATTAACAAAGAAATTCTATCAGATAAATGTTAGCCATGAAATAAGAACGCATGTCATTTTAAATATATTGTTGAGGACCTGACCTAGGAAGTGTACTATGAAATAGAAACCAATATCAATGTGTATCACTCACGTCATACCTGTATATACATAATGTAATATTACCACTGCCATGAGTACAACACGTGTATACGTCATAGAGGTGACCTTTTTGTATTTATCCTTGAGAAACTTTACCTGAAGCTGCTACTTTATCTATGGTTGTATCCTGTAAAAAGGCCATATGCCCTAGGATGGTGAAGATGAGGAAACCAGCAAAAATACTGGTGCCAGAATTGATGAAGGCGAAGATCGTGACGTCCCTATAATATAGAATAACATGATGATGTTATCAATTATATTAAGCCTGGTTAAATCTGCATAACACAATATGTTTGTGCAACCATATCGTTGGCAAGGCTATAAGTAACATTATACAACATGTTAATTATATATCTAACCTGTGTTAAATATGCATAAATTAAACTATTTGGTGGGATTGAATTTCCAAACTCATCAGTGGATGGCCCTGTGTGATACAATGGACTTTTTGGCCTGTATCTCTTGGGTGCGGTAATTTAATCCCATCAAATGTTTATACATGCAGCTCCATCAACAAATTGTTTTTCTTTTCTCTTCATAATATGTATATATATATATATATATATTATATGTCTTTTCAATATCAAAATAAACGGTTAGAATTTTAACCATTAAATTCAATTATAGTAAAAATGAGTATAAGTAGTTGTTTCCCCTAATTTGATTATTAATTTGATAATACCAACTTATTTATTTGTGTTTGTATGTGTTCTAATGTTTATGTCTATGCTTGTACCACTGTCTATTACTATGTTTGGAAAGGGCTTAAATAGGCTATGCCTGCTGCCCAATCCATTTTTCCTTTGACAATGAAATTTATTGAAATTTAAAATACCTGTAGGAGTTATGGTTAAACTTGTTGTAACTGCCGAGAGCGGTCAGGGCACCATTACCTATAGAATAGGACCACATAATCTGTGTGGAGGCATCGATCCATACCTGAAAGTACAAAGACGTCCTAAGGTGAATCAAATATACAGCAGCATCACCAGACAAGGACAACTCATAGTAAATAGAAGGAAATCGTCCCCTCCAAACCATACAAAATTATTGTTAGGCTGAGAAAATGCAATTTATTCAAGTGGCATGAACAGTAACATCTTAAATCAGTGTTGCATGTCAACATCTCCAGCATGACATTGATAGTATTCAAAAGAAATCTTTTATCACATGTCCGTGTATGTTATACATTCGATCCGTTCATTAGTCTGTTCATTGATCGATTGACTAATTCATGTAATCTGCCCTGCATTCATCTACACGTGCATGCAGTATTATGTTAGGTTTTTTTTCATTTATTTATTCTCTCATTCGCTTGTAATGTGAAACATCATCTGTAGGATCTAACTATTTTCATTCGACTAGAGGCGTGGTAACGTTTAACGAACAACACTGATTCAAGTTAATTGACTTTGTATATAAAGGGTCACCGTAGGGTCTGAGGTTGTGAAGGAGAAAGCTCTCTAACCGTGCATTGAACCTTTGTCGTCTGCTTGGAAGGTCAGCGACATGATCACCAGACTATAACATGTCTGCTTCCTTAATTAAGTGATGTTTGTTTCCACGTTCCCCATTATAAGACGTACAGCGTGATGTATAAACGGTCCTGCTACACATAAGTTAGGTCGTGCTTATTAGTCATTCTTTCGAGTTTAACAAACAAGTCCAAACTTTCAACAATCGTACAAAGCACAGGATAAGGAAAGGTGCCCCCAGGTAAAACAGTAAAAAACAACACAAAATGCTTAAAGGAGGTATATTTGTATATGTCACAAAAAAAAAGACGTTAAACATATTCAGAAGTCAAAACAAATATGAAAACAAAATTCGTAGAACATACCTCCATGTCACCAAGTTTGGTTAAGTCCGGCTTGAGATAATAGATGACCCCATCAAGAGCGCCCTCTAGAACAGAGTTACGTATGAGCAGGGCGAGCATGAAGAAGTATGGGGCGGTCGCCGTTACATACATCACCTGAAAATAAAGTTGGAATATTTTGAAAAAAAAGCGTTTAGATTGTAACGTTATTATTGTTATTATAACGCTAATGACGACTTACGTCCTATTTACTCGTGTTGAATTTCATCTTAACCTTCCTTAAATACATTTGTAATGAACCGGGTAAAAGTCAGCTTGCTGTAAAACTGTTATTGCCAGCCGATTTATGATGTTTCTCCTTCTGTTTCAGTGTCCGATAGGTGACTGGTTGGTCAGTGCTGATAATGTCCTTTGAAATTGCCGATGCGGTTCATGTTTTGTTTATTATTTATAATTATTTATTTTATTTTCTATTTTCCTTTTTTTAATATTGTTTTTATTCTACTTGGTTTTCTGAAATATTTCTTTATGGTCTTCAGCCCTCAGCTCATATTTTGCAAAAGTGTGTTTAATAATATACATGTATAATTTGGACCTGCCGGGACATTGAGTGAAGAAGGAAACCAGGTTAAGGGGTTTCGTCTTGAAGAATAAGAAAGTGTCTATCCTGCGACAATCAATGTACGATTTGGAGGTTCTCTTTCGGTTTTTTTTTTTTTTTATCTAATTAAATGCCTCCAAGACTAAATTTGACATTTCCTTTTAGCTTTTTGCGTTTTTGTTGATAATAAATTATGACATGCCATAAATAGCAAAAACAAAAACAGCCAAATTTCTCACATGAAAAAAATCTCTTAATCTCTTCCAAATGATGTCAAGAAAACAAAATTGCATAGGTGTTTTTAAAATATTACAAGTTTTGATAACTTCGCTTCTGAACCGATTCTTCAATTTCACAATTATTTTTTGTTAAATCTTATACGCATGTCGTTTTGTGTTTTGATTGTATGCAAATAGAGATTTTTTTTATTAATAAACGTACTGTTTTACACACTTGTGTATGTTAATTGTCTAATGTAAACATGTCGACTTACTATTAATATATGTAAAAGTATTGTTCCTTTATGATATTTACTTCATGCATATATTAAAATTTTAACTAAGATGTTTTTCAGGGTGTACCATATGCAGGTTTTTCTGTGCCTGGTAAATATAGCCTGTTTATACCGTTTTATGCTAATACATATTAACAATGTTGACAACGACAGCTAATGACACATCCATGTGTAATGTGAGAGTTCCCTGTAGCCATAAAGCCGTACTTTGTTTGGCTATCTGAACAAGATTTCTAAATAGGTATTTCCTTTTTTTATTTTCCTAGTGTCTATTTTACGTAACAAGGTTGCTAAATCTGCTGGTGGACTGTCAGTACCCTAGGTAGGCTGAAATATAGTCTGACACGGTTACACAAAAAAGTATATCAGTAAGAGAGATATTGTCGCATTTTTGTTATGTTTGTTTGTTTTGGGGCTTTTTACTAAAAAATACTCAAAAGTCTAACACAGTTATACATAGTAATAAACATCATGTAAACAAACCACTTAAAAGTACCCTTAAATATTAGATTTAAATTGCAATTGGAAGATTTATAAACAATGAACATTTCGCAGTATAACCACAAGGGGATGAAATATAACAGTGTGCCAACACACATGGAAAAAATATACCACAGCGCCAACACACAGGGACAAAATATACCACAGTGCCAACACACAGGGACAAAATATACCACAGTGTAAACATACAGGGACAAAATATGCCACAGTGTAAACATACAGGGACGCAATATACCACAGTGTAAACATAATATACAGGGACAAAACATACCACAGTGCCAACACACAGGGACAAAATATGCCACAGTGTAAACATACAGGGACACAATATACCACAGTGTAAACATACGGGGACAAAATATACCACAGTGTAAATATACAGGGACAAAACATACCACAGTGTAAACATACAGGGACCAAATATACCACAGTGTAAACATACATGGACAAAATATACCACAGTGTAAACATACAAGGACAAAATATACCACAGTGCAAACATATAGGGACAAAATATACCAGAGTGTAAATATACAGGGACAAAACATACCACAGTGTAAACATACAGGGACAAAATCTACCGCAGTGTAAACATACAGGGACAAAATATACCACAGTGTAAACATACAGGGACAAAATATACCACAGTGTAAACATACAGGGACAAAATATACCACAGTGTAAACATACAGGGACAAAATATACCACAGTGTAAACATACAGGGACAAAATATACCACAGTGTAAACATACAGGGACAAAATATACCACAGTGTAAACATACAGGGACAAAATATACCACAGTGTAAACATACAGGGACAAAATATACCACAGTGTAAACATACAGGGACAAAATATACCACAGTGTAAACATACAGGGACAAAATATACCACAGTGTAAACATACAGGGACAAAATATACCACAGTGTAAACATACAGGGACAAAATATACCACAGTGTAAACATACAGGGACAAAATATACCACAGTGTAAACATACAGGGACAAAATATACCACAGTGTAAACATACAGGGACAAAATATACCACAGTGTAAACATACAGGGACAAAATATACCACAGTGTAAACATACAGGGACAAAATATACCACAGTGTAAACATACAGGGACAAAATATACCACAGTGTAAACATACAGGGACAAAATATACCACAGTGTAAACATACAGGGACAAAATATACCACAGTGTAAACATACAGGGACAAAATATACCACAGTGTAAACATACAGGGACAAAATATACCACAGTGTAAACATACAGGGACAAAATAAACAACAGAGTAAACATACAGGGACAAAACATACCACAGTGTAAACATACAGGTAAAAAATAAGCAATAGTGTAAACATACAGGGACAAAATAAACAACAGTGTAAACATACAAGGACAAAGCATACCACAGTGTAAACATACAAGGACAAAGCATACCACAGTGTAAACATACAGGGACAAAATATCCCACAATGTAAACATACAGTGACAAAATACACCACAGCTTCAACATAAAAGAACAAAATATACCACAGCTTCAAAATATAAGGACAAACTATACCACTGCTTCAAAACACAAGGGCAAAATATACCACACTTAACATACACAGGGACAAAATACACCAGAACGGCTACGCACAAGGACAAACTATACCACAACGGCTACACACAAGGATACAATTTACTGCATTGTTCACAAAGAAAGGCAAAAGTTTAATTAAAGCTTTGTTACTTTTTAAAACAGCATCATTATTGTTGCTAGATTTTGATTATTTTTGTAGAATCGCAGACTGTAATTAATAAATCCGAACTTTGTTCTGAACATTAAACAGTAATCGAAATTTTAGACAGACGATTTTATTTCCTATTAGTGTAAAAAATAAGTTTAAAAAATGTTCAACATTTATAACGTGCCATATATAATTGGGGGAAAATATACTCTAAAGCGCTTAACAACAAATTGATAATAATGTAAGTTATAATTGTTCAACAAAAAAGGCTTACAATCACCATTATATATTAGGCAAGTAGAGAATTATTTCAATGTGCTTATAAATGATAAATAAATAATGAAAAAAAAACTTTTATTGTTCATACAAAACAGATGAATATGATTCCGAATAATAGATTGTAATTGCTGTGTACAATGAGCTTTACTTACCTTACCAGAAGTTCGGATTCCTTTACATATGCACACATACACGATCACCCAGGCCAACAGAAGACATAGAGCTAGATCCCATCTCACAGTTCCCATCTCATCAATACCGGACGAGAGACCAAGCACCTTTCGCCTGTAAAAACAATTATTTCCATATCCTTTCTTTTCTAATTGATAACTTTTTTCTCGGATTCTTTATTTTCCCATTGCTCTATTGAATCTTTGTACTAAACTATTATTTAACACAACACTTTCGAGAACTTAAGATACTCACTCCCAAAATTCATTGACGGGGTCTATTCTGATGACTGGCGATGATATATTGTTTGGTGTGATATAATTCAATGATGTGTTGACAGTGGTGACAGTGAGATTAGTAGCAAAGGCTTCTGTCTTGTTTACACCATTGAAGTCGTAGCAGTGTTCCGTGTTCCACTCGTGACCACACGTCTTCCAGGGAAGCTCGGAGGTGAAGGAGGAAAACACATAGTATATTGCCCAACAGATGATCACGTTATAGTAACAGTTTAGGAAAAACACAATGGTCGTGGTGGTCCCTCCGAGTCCTGTAAAATACAGCAGTATTTGTGACAATATATTTCATTAGTTTAGATATGACTACGTGTATATTGATTATGTACAATGGGTAACTATTTACTTCCGTTTCCTTTCAAGATTGAAACAACATGACTGTGAAACATGAAGTGTTGCAGAACAAGTATGTCGTCCACAAAGTTTTGCTTTATGACGCCAGGTTCTGTAGACATTGAACACATGGCTGAAAAGAGAATAAGACAAATGTGTTCTGAAAGGTTAAGCGTCTTTTGAGAAAAAATCTGACCTTGATTAAAACTGTGTTACAACTTGTTGCTTCAGGTTTATAAATTATGACCTTTTCAGGTTTGCCAATATCGTGTTTTGTAAGCGTCGTACTTTCCAGATTACAGTCAACTACTAGACATGATAAGATATGTAGTTTGACGTGCTGGTTCCTGTTATATATTATATCACACACAATTGAATGATCTTATTTGTTATGGAAACCATTTTATCCAGAGTCAATCTATGACGGACTAAACAGAAATGTCAACACATCTTAATACAGCCATTCCGGAATGATCGTATCCAAACTCCGAACGGTAAATCATTGCAACATTTCTTTAACGTTAGGGACGCTACTATGTTTGTGTACGTATAAAAAGCCGTTTCCCCTCGGGAACAGCAGTTGACCTGACCCAGTGTGTATACATTGTGAAGGTTCGACCGAATGCACTTTGTATTTTAGGGTTGAAGCTAATTTTACTATTTTCTTTGATCAATCGGTTTGTCATGACAGAGGGACAGAATGTTGGGGAATTGAAAAACGTTACACGTAGTGCTTTTTATGCATACTATTTCATTGTAAATAATTCACACTTCAGTCTTTTAAACTCTGATGGTCAACAGGAATGTGCATTGATCTTGTGAGGTAAATCTACAGATTGGACTGTAAACAAAATAAAATTCTATCAATACATCGGACGAATATGAAAAACAAATCCAGATGTTCTAGGTGTCATAAGTAGACCGGCTGATTTCAATGCAGAAAACAAACAATAATACATTTAAGATTAAGAAAAGAAAAGGAAAAATAAGATTTGCGAAATGCATAAAAACAGGATTTTTTTTATCAATTTGATATTTTCTTAAACTCATTTTAAGTATTCAAATTCCTAATAACTTGTAATTATATTTTTTCGCAAATACAATTATAATTGTGATTAAATGTTGAATTACGATTGGAGCCTTTGTTGACCTCCAATACTATACATAAAAAGCACTACATATACCGTTTTTCAATTTACCGACAATCTGATCCGATAGTTCGGCATGATTGACTGTGTCAATGATCAAAGAAAATAGTGAAATTAGCGTCAACCCTAAAATAAATAGTGCCTTTGGTCCAAACTACACAATGTATACACATTGGGTCAGGTCAACTGCTGCACCTGAGGGGAAACGGCTTTTGCCACGTACACAAACATGGTAACATTCCGAACTTCAAAAATGTTGCAAAGATTCTTTACCGTTCGGAGTTTGGATACGGCTGTATACATACAGATGTGCTGCAGTAACCCGAGTAGCCGCTTGCCCTTTTCGCCGAGAATATTTTGAATAACGACTTGGTCATGTGTCATATGATTGAGCCGGGTAAACTATAGACAAAGTACAATATAAAGATGGACACCAATTTGTGAATGTATACCGATAATCAGGAGGTATCGATTGAAGAGTTTGATAGTGTCGAGAGGACAGTAGGACGACAGGGTATGTAGTCTATACAGCCTATATGACGAGGACGCTGGAAGACTGGAAGATACCATATATTAGCTCCCTTATTAGGTATTACATAATGGTTACTATATTTGCACACTTTGTACTTCCTCTTAACTTATTATAATAGTTGCTCCCTAAGTGGTTACATTGAACTCGTTTCTTTATTTTGCTCCCCTAGTGGTAATTAAACTATTCAATATATTTGCTCCCTAAGTGGTTACATTGAACTCGTTTTTATATTTACTCTCCTATTGGTTATTTAACTAATCTATATATTTGCTCCCTAACTGGTTACTTTGAACTCGTTTCTATATTTGCGCCCCTAGTGGTAATTTAACTATTCAATATATTTGCTTCCCTATTTGTAATTTAACTAATCAATATATTTGTTCCCTAAGTGTTTACTTTGAACTCGTTTCTACATTTGTTCACCTAGTGGAAATTTAACTATTCAATATATAATTGCTCCCTAAATGGTTACATTGAACTCGCTTCTAATTTTTGCTCTCATAGTAGTAATTTAACTAATCAATAGTATTGCGCTCTAAGTGGTTACTTTGAACTCGTTTCTATATTTGCGCCCCTATTGGTAATTTAACTACTCTATACATTTGCTCCCTTAGTGGTTAATTTGAACTCGTCCTATAATTTGCTCCCCTGGTGGTAATTTAACTTATCAATATATTTGCTCCCTAAGTGGTTGCATTGAACTCATTTCTATATTTTCTCCCCTAGTGGTAATTTAACTACATGTATTCAATATATTTTCTCCCCTAGTGGTAATTTAACTAATCAATATATTTGCTCCCTTAGTGGTTACTTTGAACTCGTTTCTATATTTGCTGATTATTTTGAACTCGTTTCTATATTTTGCTCCCCTAATGGTTACTACTCATTGGTTCGTAAAGCAATGTATATTTCATGAGGAGAATATTATAAAGATATGTATGTAGTAAAGGGAACAGTTTCCCTCCGGAATATCTTTGAAATCTGTATACATTAAATAGAGAACGTTTACCCTTCAGAACACCGGGTTTTGCTCCGAAGTGTTGAGGGATTTATAACGTAAGGTTAGGTACATGTACATGTGTCTACTATGTTACTAGCCAAGTTTTGGTTTTATCAAATTAAAGCTGATAAGGATGAGTTCCTACTTTACTTAAATCCAGGTATCCATAATCCGTAAAGAATATTTATTCGTAATGTATATTGTATATATTCAATTAAAATAGCAGACATTTATGTCGTTTATCGACAATTATCATTTTTATAGTTACACTTATGCTGTTTTGATAAAATAAAAGAATAATAGATATGTTCACAATTATCTTCATACGGGATGAAATAGTAGTTCTTTCGAAGCTGATAACTCAGATTCTATTTTATCTCTATTTAAGTTCCTTTTGTGTGTGTTGACGGTGATGGTTTGTTAGACCTACCCTGTAACAGTGGACAAATGTTCCATGCCTTGAAGCCGCTCACCCCCATAAACTGACCAACGGTTACTTCCAGGAAAAAGAGAGGAACTCCGGCCACGACCACACATATTAGGTACGGAATGAGGAACGCTCCTGCGAAAGATAAACACAATGACATAGTTTTAGTGTTCTTATTGTCATGAATTATATCGAATTTACATGACCAAGTTTGTAATTTCTGACAGGAAATGTGTCGTCGGTGGTATGTATACCCTGAAAGAACAAGAAAGTGCAATTATATATGAAAGTAAAGAAAAACATAAATTAAAGTGCCTGTGACGAATAATATAATTTAGAATTCATATTGTCATGAATTACATACATTTGAGAGCTTTTTCGTCGGCGGCGGTATGACTGCTCAGCAAGAATCAGAGGGCATCAATTAACACGAATGCAAATATGCATTTAAAATAGGTAGCATACAGCTGATCGGGGCACATTACATTGTACAAAACTGTTTATAATGAATGGCAGATTAATGGCAACTGTTTTCAAGCCTTTATGAAACAACCCACTCCCAGTCCTACATTGAGGACAATATTTATGTAGTACTCCATATACAATAAACCCTCCCTGCCCTCATTTAAAACAATATTTATGTAGAACTCCATATACAATAAACCCTCCCTGCCCTCATTTAGAACAATATTTATGTAGTACTCCATATACAATAAACCCTCCCTGCCCTCATTGAGGACAATATTTAGGTAGTACTCCATATACAATAAACCATCCCTGCCCTCATTGAGGACAATATTTATGTAGTACTCCATATACAATAAACCCTCCCTGTCCTCATTGAGGACAATATTTATATAGTACTCCATATACAATAAACCCTCCCTGCTCTCATTTAGAACAATATTTATGTAGTACTCCATATACAATAAAACCTCCCTGCCCTCATTTAGAACATTTTTTATGAAGCACTCAATATACAACACTGTTTATACAAAAAATAAATCCACACAGGTGTTTTTCGTAATAAACGAGAGTAACTTATGGCAGGGACATGAGTGTCGAATATCACAGAAAAACGATAACTTATTCAGTGTTCTACCTTGTAAGGGTGCGAGAATAACCTTTAGCAGAGACAGTGACTGGCGACAACAGGTTAACTTGGGCATAAATTATCACCTGTCCCTAAAGTCACCCTCGGGACAATAATTCCAGCATACCAGTGCATGAAAGACAACGACATTGGCCTTGACGAAATGTCACCACACCAAATAAACACATCGAGGTAAAATCAAGTTCATTGTGTGCGCAAGTAACAGACGATACACTATCCTGATATTTTCGTCTCCTTCATGACGTCGTTTTCGTGGTAAATAGAAAACCGTTGTATTTGTTTGTTATGTAACGTCCTTGTGACAACTACCGCTCACACGTATTGCTACGGGGGCAGCAGATCACTTTTGTTTTTTTCAATTGCTTTTTAGCAGATGGCACTGTAGAAACCGTCGATTCTTATGGGGCCCCACACATAACACATAAGTGGGTTCTTACGAAATGCAATGGAATACAGCAGGAATATTCATAAAAAAACATGAAATTTTGAAACCTTGGTCGGAGGCCCAGAGGTTTGTCGAACAATCATTTAAAGGGGCTGGTCGGGGGGAAAATGTCATATTTGCTAAAATGGCATAAACATGTTTAAAATACCTTCTTATGAAATATACCGATTCAATTTTGCTGAAATTCACTCCCTAAGAGTAAAAATTATTATTGTATTAAAGAAATCCTAAATCGTCACCTGACAGTCTAAAACTCTCAATTGACCAGATCAGTGATGTAATTTTACCGCACGCGCATCATCAACAAGGCCAAATGTAAACATCGCCATCGTGGCGAAAGAAAAAGCTGCATGCAAACGTCATGACAGGCACGAGGTATCAATATCGGTATATATAACAGCAAGATATAGGCAGAATACTACACTTGCATCATAAATGACATTTGAAAACAATTATTTACGTATAGTATTGCTGTCTTATCCGCTAGTTGAGTCCGACATGGCACATGACGGCGTGCTATTGTTGTTATCTTCACTGCCTCACTTTCGAAACAGCCACGTGACATATATAAATAGATCTGCGCTAAATTTACGCGGGGCTTCCCCGAGATTTCAATGGTCAAAACTGGGCATTGCAAGCAGAACTCGACCATCATATTGCCGTGGTATAACTTTTGGAATGCCAGAGAACGCATTTAGACCCATTTATTTTGTAATTTGTTCCCCGACCAGCCCCTTTAACACGTGTTCAGATAAAAAAATAAAAAGGCTTGGTCGTATATGGTTATTGATTATCATTATTTGAATAGCAAAATGTCTTACATATCATCGATCTTTCAACATGTTAAGGTCATCGGCTGTTTATACATAAAAGAAGGAATTTATAAAAACCGTGGGTATTGTTTTTGACCAGATCTGGGCCAGTGTTCAGAAAACCGTTCCTCATGATCAAGCATGGATTTTGTACTCGCACTCACCGTTTCGGTACCCGCTTAAATTATGCGATATTGTAACAAAAATCAGTCCAGTGATGATATTGGAGGTGTTTTCGGTTTTAAGTCACTCCGTAATTGTTCTAAATCATTCCCAAAATGTGAAGCTCTATTGTTTTATTGGTGTATATAAGATATCTTCCTACACGTTTTTCATTTTTTCACGCAAATCTATGCAATATTTTTGGAACGAAATCGCAGAAAATAGATTCTTTCTTTCGGGATGTCAACATCGTCGATCGAGACATGACAAGAAAAAACGCAAGGCTTACATGCAGGCGACAAGGCGCGATATATATTTTTATAGATTCCTAACATTGACTGAGTTTTAAGAAGAATTTTGGCTGCATTGCTCTGAAAACAACTTACTTGTGGATCATTCACAGATATTATTTGACAGACATTGTATGTAGTCACACTCATCGTCAACATCCTCTTTCTTCGCCTGTTACGTTTTCGTCTCAATCCATCATGTTACAATGTAAATAGCTATGATGATCTCGATATCACATAATAGAGTGAGTGGGCCACTTACAGATGTGACTAGGAGAGTAATACATCTGTTGGTGGTCTGTAATTAATTAGCCATTGGTGCTGACTAGCTACCCCAGCCAGCACGTGTCCCTGTACCAGAATACAGTAAGGTAAACCTAGTGATCTTGTTAATAGCTTTGTACATGTTACAAAACATTATACCCGTTCCACATCATATTATACATCTGATATATTAAATACTCAGCTTCTTATTGATCTTAATGAAACATAGATGGTCAGATTATCTACTATCTATACTTTACAGTTTATATCAGGATCATATTATAAATGTAAACTATAAGGACTACCAGCCAGTCTGTAAACGACCTATCGCCTAGGTATAGAATATAACATGTTACTTTTAAATAACACAAATTTTATATGTAAGGAGAGCACTGGTAGTTTTCCTAAATCTAAATAAGAATGGTTTGAATTCATTTAAATAATTAACAAAATATTTCGTGTGATTTTGCAATCGAAAATAAAATAAAAGTTGTCTATGGGTGTTGCCGCTGTAGTAAGTTTCTCTATGGGTGTTGCCGCTATAGTAAGTTGTCTATGGGTGTTGACGCTGTAGTAAGTTGTATATGGGTGTTGCCGCTGTAGTAAGTTTGTCTATGGGTGTTGACGCTGTAGTAACTTGTATATGGGTGTTGCCGCTATAGTCAGTTGTCTATGGGTGTTAACGCTGTAGTAAGTTTGTATATGGGTGTTGACGCTGTAGTAAGTTGTCTATGGGTGTTGCCGTTATAGTAAGTTGTCTATGGGTGTTGACGCTATAGTAAGTTGTCTATGGGTGTTGCCGCTGTAGTAAGTTTGTCTATGGGTGTTGCCGCTGTAGTAAGTTTGTCTATGGGTGTTGACGCTGTAGTAACTTGTATATGGGTGTTGCCGCTGTAGTAAGTTGTCTATGGGTGTTAACGCTGTAGTAAGTTTGTATATGGGTGTTGACACTATAGTAACTTGTATATGGGTGTTGCCGCTATAGTAAGTTGTCTATGGGTGTTGCCGCTATAGTAAGTTTGTCTATGGGTGTTGACGCTGTAGAATGTTGTATATGAGTGTTGCCGCTGTAGTAAGTTTGTCTATGGGTGTTGACGCTGTAGTATGTTGTATATGGGTGTTGCCGCTATAGTAAGTTGTCTATGGGTGTTAACGCTGTAGTAGGTTTGTCTATGGGTGGTGAAGCTGTAGTAACTTGTATATGGGTGTTGCCGCTGTAGTAACTTGTCTATGGGTGTTAACGCTATAGTAAGTTTGTCTATGGGTGATGACGCTGTAGTAAGTTGCCTGTGGGTGTTGACGCAATAGTAACTTGTATATGGGTATTGCCGCTGTTGTAAGTTGTCTATGGGTGTCGACGCTGTAGTAAGTTGCCTATGGGTGTTGACGCTGTAGTAAGTTGTCTATGGGTGTTAACGCTGTAGTAAGTTTGTCTATGGGTGATGACGCTTTAGTAAGTTGTCTATGGGTGTTAACGCTATAGTAAGTTTGTCTATGGGTGATGACGCTGTAGTAAGTTGCCTATGGGTGTTGACGCTGTAGTAAGTTGTCTATGGGTGTTGACGCTGTAGTAAGTTGTCTATGGGTGTTAACGCTGTAGTAAGTTTGTCTATGGGTGTTGATGCTATTACGTCTTTGTGTATTGCAGAGTTATCTTCTCTTGGGAGCAGGGATTGATTGTTACGTCACTTGTTTGTGAGTGTAACGTCATCAATTTTTGAGAAAACGACGTTATTTTCTCACACAAACTAATGACGTAACAATCAATACCTCCTCCCAAGAGAAGATAACTCTGCAATATGCAAAGACCGAATAGTAAGTTTGTCTATGGGTGTTGACGCTGTAGTTAGTTTTATATGGGTGTTTACGCTGTAGTAAGTTTGTCTATGGGTGATGACGCTTTGGTAAGTTGCTTGTCTATGGGTGTTGATGCTATTCCGTCTTTGTGTATTGCAGAGTTATCTTCTCTTGGGAGCAGGTATTGATTGTTACGTCACTTGTTTGTGAGTGTAACGTCATCAATTTTTGAGAAAACGACGTTATTTTCT